GTCAAATTTTACCTTTTTGGTTGTGTCATCCTCTTTTTTATCCAACCGTGAGAAAATTTAACACATTTTTATTTGCAGTGTGCACCATCAATTTGAGAGGAATTGTGATTTTATGGGGAATAATATTAATTTCTTAAAATTTCAGGCACTCTACGCTCTATCCATTCTGGCAAATTCGAGCAAGATCATTGACCTACTGGACAATTCGAACAGTAAGGAAAATATGTAGAATATGTAATTTAAATCAAATTTGGTTAATAATATTGAGGGTAATAACATTTGAATGGTTTATGTACTAGGCAATTATACATCTGATCTGATTAACGATTCAAACAGTAAGGAAAATGCACACTCTTAAAAATTATGTGTCCATTTCCAGAGTAAATATGGGAATTCCGCACTCTGAATTCACTCTGAATTCCGTATTTAGGAAACTACACTTAATTCGAGTAGCGTGAATTTGAGTAAACTTTACTCTGGATTTTGTACAGTTTACTTAATTTCAAATTTACAGTTTCAGTTTTCAAAATGGGAACGCTATTTTTAAGAGTGAACAATAGTTTAAATCGAATTTTCTTAAATTATGTATGTTCACGTTGTTTTCGTGAGGGTACAAATATTTGAATTATTCCCTAGGTAACTACACGTCTGACCTGATTGAAGATTCAAACAGTAAAGAAAATATGGGAACGTGCATATATTACGCTACAAAAAAGATGACTGTATGGTTTTGGGTCGTCTATCCTACTCGCGTTACGCTTAACATGGGTAGGATAGGGAACAAGGGGGTGGGTGGTGTAAAAATTAGGATTTTTTTGACGACGTAATTCATGGACGTTCCTTGTGTGTCAAATTTAATTAAGAAATACTCACATTTTTGCGAGAAGATAATTTTAAAAAATCTTGATTTTTTTGTTGAATAGGTAACGATACAACTGACGCTGGGCACCCCCTGATAAGCCATCATGATAAGACCAACATCGTATTTAATGTACAAATGGCGCAACATTCCATTCGGATTATCGCGGCAGGGGTGTCATTAATCTTTACTTGTGTTATGTTGCACGGTTATCGGAAGGTATGTAAATATCTAGTTTGGGGACGTCCATTTGTTATGTCAAGATAAATGTAACTGCTTTCAAACAACTGCTTTTCACCAAATTTTCGCTTTCGACCAAAAGTTGCCTAATCGGACTTAAAGATCTATTTTTCATGACACAATATATGGACGAATATATCTTCAAAACATTTATTCATTCAAAGTTCACTCCTTCAAAGACTTGAAAAAAATATTCATTAATTATTCACCATTCCTTCATTAGTCATGTTATTCAAAACTCACCTTATTCAATGAATTTCTCACCTTTCCCTATGTATTAAGCATTGAGTTAAAAATTAAGGATGAAAAAAATATTCATTCATTTTTCATTCACACGAATTGAATAGATATTCACTCAATATTCATTTATTCAAAAATCAGAATAAAATATTCATTCAATATTCATTCAAATTTTGAATATTGAATGAAGAATTTATTCATTCACCGAATGAATAAATGAATGAATGTGAACATGTATGTATCGACGGTCCCTTTGCCCCCTTAAAAATCGTGTAGCCCTTTCGGAAAGTTAATATAGTCTGAAATCTGTATTTAAGTAAACTGTACGAAATCCAGGGAAACGTTGGTAAAGTTGACTCTGGATTTAGTATAGTTTTCCTTAATATTTAATGCATTTACTTTTCAAAATAGTAACGTTATTTTTAATGGTATAGTTTTTTAAGTTTCCACAGTCCAAACTTGGCAACTTATTTTTCAAGTTTTAATTCGTATTTTCAGCGTAATCACCGCCTAATCAAGCCGTGGTTGATCTGGAGCTACGTTTTAATCTTGGTCGGGATGACTGCGTCTGTTGTCACTTTTGGGACAATGACACTGAATGGCCTGCCCCTCGTGGGATTTTGCACACTCGTCATATTCGGATCTTTCCTCGCAATGCAGATCTACTTTGTCGTCGTGGTGAGAAGATTTGTGGATGAGTTGAAGAGTGAAGAGATGGGTGGTCATCAAAATTATAAAATTTGACGGAATGCACAAATATTGAAATAATGTGAGACATTGTGGTTTGATTAAATATTTAAGTACATATTCAATGGTTAAATAAATATTTTTTGGATTGGTTAATACAATAGAAACTTGTTTATTCGTCATAAAATTTGATACACATCTTGAATTACTAATGGAAAAAATATTTTATAATATGAAAAACCTCATTTATTCATTTTTGACCATAGTTTCCCGAAAAATATTCATCTTAACTCATGAAAAAAATTGCATGGATCGCTACTGTCATCATAATACGAGGTATTCAAATATTCCTTAAAATTGGCCAAGTTGATTTTGATGTATTCGTATTCTTTCATGTTTCGGAACGTTCATATATTACGTCATAAAAAAAGTGGGTGAGTGGTATCGGGTCGTCTTTTTAAAACTTGAACAATATGAGTACGATGGGATAGGGATTGTTTGGGGGACATGAAATTTGGAGTTTTTTTGCTGACGTAATATATGTTTGTCCCCCTCCGGGATGTATTATAGTGAACTCCCAACCAAGAAAAAATTTATTTGCCTGGGTTAAATTGGTTTCCCTAAAATTCATTGAGTTAGTTTTTCTGCTCAAGGGAACGTTCACATATTACGTCAAAAATAGATAAGAAGGGTGGCCGATTTTGGGTCGTCTATCTTGCTCGTGTTCAACTTAACATGAATAGAATAGGGAAGCCGTGGGTGGTTAGGTGGTATAAAAATATGTTATTTGTGTCGTAATTTATGGACGTTCCCTAAACTACTTTTTTCCTAACCCGTATTAATACCTTTGTGGTTATGACAGGTGAAAAAGTTGCTCACATTTCCACGAAATCACTTTGCATATTACGTCGCAGGAGAAAACAATCCACTGTGAGACCAACATATTTTTGCAGTTTTAACTTGCAAAAGAGACTGCAGAAAGGATGTGATCGATTTGTGGGGAGGTAGGCTTCCTATCCTTCCCATATTAATTACAACATGGGGCGTATATGTCAAACCGAGGTATAGGAACAAAAAACAACAAAAATCGATCACATCCTTTATGCACGGCCCTTAAAGACACGAATCCCAGTTTCATATCTACATAATTGCAGTAACCCCAAATCCGTCTCGATTTCCACGAAATGCATAAGCATGTTGGTACATACACTCTTAGGAAACCGGTATTAAAGCATTACCGACCGGAGTACATGTGACTCTACCGGCACTGGAATTACCGTTCAGTAATGTTGTGGCAATGACAAATTTACCACTCAGGAACAATTTACTACCAATCCAGTAGGAAATTATTGCGAAATCAATACCAGCACGGAGTATCTACATATGTGACTCTACCCAGGCCCCGTTTTAGCTATAGGCGAACTAGGCAACCGCCTAGGGCGTCAGAATTTTGGGGGCGCCGGTAGGCGCCCTTATACACTAGATAAAACCAACATGGCGGAATTTATAATTTGTTGTGGAAGAGAACATATAAAAGACTGACTTTCACCGAAATCTCTGGTACAAAATTTTGTACTATTGTTGAGCCAGTTCAGCTAGTTGTTCATTACTTTTAGCTTGAAAATCCAGCCAGGTAAACTTGCAATGCAGAAGTGCAAAGTGGTTCTGATTATCCGCGATTTTGGCCGGGCAATTTTGGATTGTTAAGGCTCAGAAATAAGCGTACCTATATATATTTCCATTGATTTGAATTTTATTGTTTTGGCCTTTGGCAGAATTTTAAATTATATTTGCAGCCAAAACTTGCATTTTTTAAAACTCGTTAAGCTTTCGAATGTCAACCAAATTTAAAAAATTAGGCGCACTTTTTTCTCAGAATTTCTTCAATTATAAAAATTCATTTTTCACCTTTAATTATCAAAGACTTAACATTATGCGGTTTATTAAGATTCAACAATATTCATAGTATGAAAATTTCAAATTTTAAAAGTTTTAAAACACTATCTTTATAATTTCAGCGTCCGTGAAAATGAAGTAACTGATCAAAAATTTCGCTTAATTTTTTAAAACGGGTAAAATTCTAAAAATAACAGCAATTTGAAAAATTCAAATTTGTGATGAAAATTCCTCCTCATTCGAAAACAAGTGCATTCTAGAAAGCTAAAAAATATTTGTCCGCTGGTTTCTGAGCATACAGAATTTTCTGAGTCCACCAAAACTCGGAAATAAAAACCTTATTTAAACCTTTCCATTGTTGGTATAATTTAATTTTTAATTAGCAAGAAATCTTACTGCCACTTGTGTGTCATAAAAATACTCAACTATTTTTTCAGCGGTTAAAAATATTAAATTAAAACTTTGCCTGTCGAAGTTTACAGTTCACTGTATGTGAAAGAAAGCTCGCAATAAATATTTCAGGAAAATGTCCTCAGATGCCGATGAAATTGCTTAAATTAAATTTTTAAAAATGTTAATTAGTGGAACTGCACTTAGAATGCAGGTCTTTCACGTGTAAAAATGAGATTTGTATAGGCTCAATTTTAGTTCGGTCATCAAAAAATAAGCATACCCGTATTTTTGTATTTTTCATAATGCGCTAATTGGAGCGCTAATTTTGAATTGTTTTCCAGCCACAACCTTAGGCACTGAAAATCATCTTTTAGATTTTTAACACGAATTAAAAAATTCGAAACAAGCTCTCCCCAGGAAGATTTACCTGACTTACTTAAAAATCAATTTCGATTTAATTTCAATTTCAATTTCGATTATCAAAATCGATTTTCCGAACCTTTTGCCCGTTTTTGAAATTTTGAAAGAATTAAATTCAGTAAAGTTGCGCCGACGGTGCGAGCATGTGGGGGCGCAATTATGGTTTTGCCTAGGGCGCTACAAAGCCTAGAACGGGGCCTGACTCTACCGGATTTTTAAGAGTGTATTTAAACATACGTATGCAGTTAGGTATTTATGTACATATGCCCTTATTTACTTTATCCCCTTCACGATGATCATACATACGTAAAAATTTCTCGGTTGCGTGATTAATGTGATCACAAAATCTTAGCGAAGATGAGGAGAAACAGGGCTTATGAATACATAAAAACCCGCCCGGGCCATGCAGGAGGAACGTGGTACATAATTTTTCATTATTTGTTTTCTACATAAAAATTATGTCGTAAAAATTTGTCTTGTGATAATGGCTTAGGATTAGTGTACACTCTTAAAAATGCTGTATCTGCGTGCTGGTAAATATTGTTTTGGTAGTAACTTTCGGTTATTTGTTTGTGACAAGAATTTCTTGTTACACACTAAATAAAAATTAGTAAAATTTACTCAAGGTTGGGTAAAAACGAGGATGAGAAGACTAAAAGGTAAAATTTACTCAGCGTTGGGCAAAATTAACACAACTTTGGACAAATTTTACCGCTTGGTTGTGTCATCCTCTTATTTACCCAACCTGGAGTAAATTTTGCTCATTTATATTTGTAGGGTATCATAATATTTATTAGTAAACATTGGTGCAGGTCAGTATTTACCGGTATGGTCACATGCTCTGGTCGGTAATGATTTATTTCATGCCAATTTTCTAAGAGCGGATTAACACCCAGTTAACTAAATCCGGTACATTCTTCATGCACGGTCCACCTGCACTTGATCCCAGCTCTGTAGCGAAATATGTATGAATTTCCTCTCTCTGCTAATAAGGAATTTACTAAATTTTACCCAGTTTTGCTGCACAATTGACATTGAGTCGAGTTTGTAAGATCGTCCTAAAAATTTGCACGCAAAATATTTCCGCATTGTTCCACAATCTTAAATAAATAAGTATTACTAAATCTGCGGAAATGTCGAAGGAAACGTGCTGTTGTGGAAGTTTTTCGGTTGGAAAGGGTTCCCTTTTCATTGGAATTTTCAATATCGTAAGGAATTAATGCTCAAAATTTAAAACATAATTTAGTCAAGGAAGAAATTATGTAAAATAACTTTGCAGATTGGTTCCATCATTAATCTGATAATTCAGCCAATCTGTATCTATTCAAGTATCAACAACCCCGATAAAACTAAGGACGAAAAAAGTAGGTGGAAAAATTGCTGAAAATCACTCAAAGCTGGTTGTTAACTCTACATTTTTACCCATTAATGATCTAATTTATTCAAAATTTGAATAAATTTATTTGAATTTCAAATAAATTTATATTTGTATAGTTCCGGATTCTGTGATAATCTTGAGCGGTTGCGTCTCCATCGTGATTTTACTCTTGTACTTCATCTTCGCTTGTCTCCTGGTGCACGGTTATCGGGTGGTGAGTAAAAATATTTTTTGCGATTTTTTTTCTGACAAGGGAATCTACCAAGGTGTCAAACGAGGTTGGGGTTAACAAATAAATATTTCGAAAATATGTGGAACAGTATCTACAAATGACGTCAAAATATGTTATGGGGCTCCATAATTCAAAAATTTCAACAAAATCCGAGCGTTACACGGCACACCTTCACATCTCGAATGAAATCTCATTTTGATCAATAATCTTTGGAAATTCACAATTTCAAAATTTAAAAAAAATCCGGGTGCTACACTTCACACCTTCGTATTATATTGTAGATAAAATTCTCATATTGATCAGTTATCTTTTTTTAGCGCAATCACCGCCTGGTCTCGCCCTGGTTTATCGCGAATTACGCCTGGCTTATTCTGAGCGCCCTCAGCATTGTTGCCGTTTTCGTGTTAAAGGTCTCCTCTGAAGAATTCGCGAAGGGAGCCGTGTTTATCGGGGTGTGCTTGACTTACATGGGGGTCGAGACGTATCTGGTCTTCGTGGTGAAAAGGTTTGCGGACGAGTTGAAAGCAGAAGCCGAGTGTAAAATTGTGCAAGAAAAGTGTTAAGGATGAGATACACTTTTAAAAATAGGGTTAACGTTTTGAAAAAATATGCACTTTGAACTTTGTATTATGTAAAGTATACTAAATCCTAGGTAAACTTTGCTCTTCGTGAAAGTTAACACTACTTTGAATTTTTTAAAGTTTGAATTAATTATTTTGAAATGAGAACTTTTCAAAAGGGCAACATTATTTTTTTAGAGTGCAGTATTTACATATTGTTTTTGTTACTAGAGGATTGTCATGATTTTCAGTTTTTGATGATGTTGCAGTATGGAACAAATAATGAATAACTGTTTAATTGGAATAAATTCGGACTTGGATGACTATTAATGATTTTAAACAATAAATATGTTTAAAAATACAGATATGTAAGTAAATGTTCGAAAAATATTTATTTGAATAAATTAATTCCTGGATATTGCATGCGCGTTCCCTTAAAGAAGAAAAACTGTAAGAGAATATGGTATGAAAAAGCAGCCCTTACATTTTACATTTGTGAGATGAGACGTAAAAGTTGAGCTTAAATTGTGTAGTTATTGTATGCAAATTTGTTGATTTGTGAATTTTGGAGTAACAAACTGCAAACTTTTTGATATATAAGTGTTTGAGGAAGAATGTTATCAATTTGATAAGAAATTTCGATTTTAATGGATAATTTTAATGGATAATATTGGATAATTCGACATTTAAAAGATTCATTAGTTCGTATGTATGAAGGATTTCAAGTAAGTTTGTTTCGGTATTATATATGCATACTAATTAAAGATATTAGAAAAATTTCGAAAGTGAGTCAAAAAATAGTACAGATATTTGTACAAATATGTATGTGTAAAATTCTTGGAATACAAATCGACGACAAAAATTTTACAAATAATTTACTGCCAACAATTATGTAAGAAACGGGGATGTCTTTACATATGTAAATTGGTACGGATAATTACACTGATAATCGTGGGTACTTCAGCCTGTCACATTTTACGTAATTAATTTTTTCATCACTGAATTGATGCCATAATTTTTGTGCCCAACTGGGCGTGGGGCGAGTTCATAAGGAGACGGAAAAGTTGGCTTCTCACGAAGTGAAAAAGTTGCTCACATTTCCAAGAAATCGCTCTGCACTTGAAATTCTGTCTCTTTCACCAGTCTTACACATCCAAATATGAAGATAGACACAGCAATAAATTTATTTTGTTCAGGGTCATCATGTTCCTAGCGTGGAAGGAAACACTCTTAAAAGTAATATTACTCTGGTAAAATGTATGTACACTCTAAATTTTATGTGAAGTAAACTATACGAAATCCAGAGTAACGTTGACCTGATAAAGGGTAAAGTTTGGTCTGGATTTTGCATAATTTACTTCATATAAAATTCAGAGTGCATTTACTTTTGAAAAGGGTAACATATTTTTTAGAGTGTGGAAAAGCTAACGTATGTATTTATGTTCTTCACGAACTTGTTTAAGAATTAGCAACAAAACGAATTTTTAATGAGTCAGTCACGTCCAGTTTTGCATATGCACCGCGTCGTGTATGCATGTGGGTAAATAAAATTCGCCAATTTGCACAAAGTTTATATAAAACTTTTTTTGCGCGTTTCTGCAAAAAAACATAGTAACAAAAGAAGGTTGCAACTTGGAAATATTTGGAAAAATGAAGCTCACTTGTTGCTTGACGTTGGGCCAGGGAACCCTTGTCATAGGGATTCTTCATATTGTAAGTTGACGTAGTATTAAGGGTATTCAAGGTTAATGATTTCTATGTAAATATGTAATATAAAGGGTCTTGATTTAATTCGTCCCGATTTTTCAAAAATATTTGCAAAGTTGTGACTCTAAACTGGTGAAAATTTGGGTCCCTCTGGTGAACGATATGAAGTTCATGTTTCAAACATACTTTATTCTACACTCTAAATAAAGTTGAGTCAAATTTTGTTTTGTCAAATTTAGCCGAGGAAAAAAAATTATTTAAGGCTGCGCGAAAACTATATGAACAACGTTCTTTAAATTTTGACTTTAATATAAGAAATACATATTGCACACCAGTACAGTGGTGTCATCTCAAATTTTACTCAAACTTGAGTAAATTTTGAGCAAATTTATTTAGAGTGTACGCATGATAAAAATATTAACTTCGTGAAAGTTAAGCTTAAATATGGTTTGAGGCCAAAAATCCAGTTCCGGACGAATTAAATCAACACCCTTTAGATAAGTAACCGATTCCCGATTATATTTATTTGTTCAGGTTAAAATTTTGAATACCCGGGATTAATTGATTCGAGATGATTAAATAATTTTAGGTTGTCGCTATCCTCAACTTTCTCAAAGATTGTTTCGGAGTGTACCTCATCCTTCACCATCCCGACTACCTAAACGTCAAAGAGAAATGCATGTACATTCGCTTATGAAATTCAGCACTTTTTGTCACCCAATTTGGAAATCACTCTTAAAAATAATGTTACCTTTTTGAAAAGTAAAGAAATCCTGAATTCTCTATTAAGTGAGACTAAATCGGAAGTAAAGTTTACTTGATCAAGGGCAAAGCTTACGCTGGGTTTAGTATGATTTAAGTAAGTAATATGGAATTCAGTGTTTTTACTTTTCTAAATGGTAAAAATATTTTTAAGAGTGTAAATCAATAAGTAGTAAATAAAAACAAGTTAATGTGCATATTTTGCAGTCTGGCTTTTGATCGCGGCCAGTGTCACGGCGATCATTGTTGAGCTGGTCTCCTTAATTTTGGCGTGCCTCGTGGTGCATGGATATCGTATCGTGAGTGCTAAAAAATTATGTTTCCATTTTGAAATATTTTTGCTTAAAAATAATGTGAATCTTGTCAAAATATTTTTGCCACACTACTAAAAATTGTGAGACCCTTTTTTATAAGTAAATATGCAAATTCACGTAGAATTCCATATTATAAGTAAACTTTACCAAATCCTGAGTTAAATTGACACGATAATAGGTTAAGTTTACTCTGGTGGAATTGTGCGGTTTAGTTAAATTGGGGCCGTCCATATATTACGTAACGGAAAAATATCGCGATTTGCTAGACCCAGTCACCCACCCCTTTATCATAGGCACGATATCATTAGGGCCTTAGACCCCTCCTTCCTCTTGTGTTACTTAATTTATAGAATTACAATCTTCCGAAATGACTTTTTCATGATTTTGCTACACTCTTAAAAATAATGTTTTCCTTTTGAAACGATTTTGGCATGTTTTTGCTACACTCTTATAAACAATGATCTCCTTTTGCGGAATAAATTCACACTAATTTCTAAAGTAACTAATCTTAAATCCAGCATACTTTAACTTGATAAATAGTAAAATTTACTCTGCATTTAGTATATTTTGCTAAATTTAGAAATCAGGGCGAATTTACTTTTCTAAAGAAGGTCATTATTTTTTAGAGTGTAAGATTTATCCTCAATTTTACATCGGAATCATCGCCTGATCACGCCTTGGTTGATTTGGAGCTATTTCATCCTTGGCGTCACGATTCTCTTTATCGTGCTGGGATTCATAGCAATCGCAATGTTTGGAAATATCACGTCGACAAGTTTGATTTTCGTAATTTTCGCAATTTATTTGGGGTTGCAGTTTTACTTCATTTTCGTCGTGAAGAAGTTTGTCGGCGAGTTGAAAGAAAACGAAAGAGTTGGCGGTGGTATCAGTGAGACGGGAAAATGTTAAAATTTTCCGGGCTACGAAGACGGTACATATTTGTTATTTTTTGCCGTGGATATTTGCATAAAAAAATGTTTGAGATTTATTCTGAAATAAATATTGTTTAATAAGTACTTAAGAAGATATATAAATAAATTACATAAAATATATTCATTAGGTTATTCTTTGTTGATCATAGTACTCGCAGAGTGTGTGTGGGTTATTGGATAAGAACTGGAATTATGCGAAGAAAGAATCGCAAAATAAAATGTATCGCAAAAACTGACTACACAGGGGTCGCAAAAAGTCCCTAACTTACAATAGAGACGCAAACCATGTTCAGCCCAGATAATTTTTTGACCATGTTAGTTTGAAAGAGCAAGTCTTTAGAAACAACATTTGGCTCGGCACTTGGGCAGATGCGCAAATTTCAGCACGCTATGGGCGGCGCAAATTCGCAAAAACGCACGATTTTTCGGGCAATGCCCAGCGCGAGCTCAACTTCGTGCGTTTTTGCGAACTTGTGGCGCTCATAACGTGCTGAATTTTGCGCATCTGCGCAAGTGCCGCACCAAATGTTGATTCTAAAGCCTTACTCTCTCAAACTAAAATGGTCAAAAAAGAATCTGGGCTGAACATGGTTTGCGCCTCCATTGTTAGTAAAAAATCTTGGATTCGTTTATTCTAAGGCGAGGAACAAAACGTAACCATGCACAAAAAAAAACAAATTGGTTAAAATCTTGGAATCATGGTTACGGCGAAGCCGTATTTGTGGTGTTGTTGATTTTTTTTCTGCATCTCAAAATATTCCGCTTAAAGTGAAAAGTCGGCTCAGGGAAATCGAAAAGACTTTAAAAAACATTAAGCTCATTTTTTAATGTCATGAACATCGGATGAAAAATGACGAAGTTATGGACGTATGTACTCTTGCTTAAATTACTAATTGGGGATATACAAATATCCCCAATTAGGTGTAGGTATGTTATAGCATACCTACACTTTAAATCACAATTTAGGGACAGAAAACAAACGGAGAGCATCAGCCAACATTCCATAAATAAGTACTTCTAGCTATTGAAGCAAACGTAGGATATAGATATTTACTGATTTATTATGCTTAGCGTGCTGGTCACTTCAAAGCAACTTCAGACGTGAGTAATTTCGCGTGACTCAATTACATATGTAGCCATTACAAAACCAGCTATCCCAATGTACATAACTGAACAACTTAATTACTAATTCTTGGATTTCGGGCCCTCAGAAAACTCATTAAAATATTTAGACATTCTCCACGAAATTGGTTGTAGCAATTCTCGAAACATTTGTCATGTTCGCTATAGTTTTATCTGCAGTGGCTACTTGAAAATCCAATATTCTCCTGAAATACTAGAATGGCGACTAATACTAGCACAATATTTCTTCTGTTTTTATTTCTAACATTTTCAAATTCCCCTATTGCCCTTTCGTTACTAAATTTTAACCGTAATCCAAATTGCTTGATAATGACCACACTAACGGATGACACACAGGTATCCAAAAATTCCAGCATTCTTCATCTGCCTTCGAGCTACGAGCTCCACTTATCACTCGCCCATCGGAACGGAAACGTTGTCAAGCATATACAACCCCAAAATTCAACAAAGTATCAACAATGGAAAGTTTGTTGCTTTGAAATCGTGATATTTGTCGATGAGGGTGAGTCGAATTCCTTCTACGAGGACGTTGTCACCTGGGGTCATCACACTAAAATGGTGATATACATGGTATTTTCCCCTCATAGGTATTATACTTGGAACAAAAAGTATCGCCTGTTCCTGTTTCACTTTTCTGTTCCAATCTATTTCATAGTAGTGGATGACAGACAAAAATCAATTTTTGCTCATTTACTTGATCCGATACATCATTCGGCCAGTTGGAAAATATTTCCGGACACATCTTCACAACCATTCGAAAAGTTTCCAGGTTTTGATACTTTAATAAGATCAAGACGATCGGTTGATAGCAGCCAAAACCTGTTCGGATTACCTGTGTCGGCAGATTGGTTGGATCGGCTGACAAAATTGAACTGCGAAAACCATCGCTACTTTTTATCTAATGGAACAAAATGTTTTGTCGTATTTGGAGCGCTGCAAGCTCTTCAGACGAGACTGAATTTTTCGTTTTCTTCATTTGGGTATGCGTTATTTTTGTGTAAATTGATTTCGCTAATTTGATGTATTTGATTTTTTCATAGTAACCAGTCCGACATCCTTTCGGAGTTTGGGATTATGAAAATAAATCCAGATTTTGAACCCATCCACATAGAAACTACTATGGATTATCACGTGCTCTATTGCCAGAAAAATCTGGCCTTGTTGGCGTTAAAAATATCAAAGTTTTTTACCATTATAGACCCATGGACTTGGGTAGGGGGTATTTTACTATAGTTGTTTTTGGGATTCACTAAGCTTGGCGGATTCTCAGATATTGTTACGACATTCCTTAGAGTCGCCGTAGTTCGTGGGTAGGTTATATTTTATTGAAAGCAATAATTACATTTTACAGATGTGCAATGATTTTAAAAATATGCAGATGTATATAACTTACCTATATACTGTTTTCGTTATTTTCGAAATACTTCTATATTTGTTAGCAATCTCATTAATTAAGTTCCAGTCGAGTTGCAAATATACGGAGGTAGAATGATATTAACCAGAACACAGAGGCATATTTCGGAGTAAGGTCCACGATAGGTCCATAGGTGCGATAGGTCCACTGTAGCGTTAAAACGACAGGTCCATAGTTTAAACGGGGATTGGTTTATAACCTTCGTTTTATTTTTACTATATCATAGCACGGTATTTAGTAAATCGGTGACAGTTTTCAGCTTTCTTTAGTTTTACCTTACTATACAGCTAATGCTACATGGAACAAAAAGTTGAAGAACAAGCTGCATTAAAAACTTTTGTGTATCCCATTCTTTTATTTTACACTTAACTTTGTCCTTAATACGAAGACAATTGTACAATTAAATGCAATTAAGCACTCTTGATGTTTTTTTAGGAATACCCTAACATGGTTTGGATTACTCTGTATCGTAGCAATGATCACTATCAGCTCATCCTACGACGCCATCATTACAACCGATATAACTAAACCTCCTGAAAAACAGGTAATTTCAAAGATGCACGAACTGTTCGCAGAATTTGGTTACAAACTGTACTCAGCAAACGATATAAGAAATTTGACCCGTTGGCGATTATCAATTCGAAAGGATTTGCAACATTTTGACAAATATATTTGGAAAGGAGGTATTATGTTTTAATTTATATTCATGTATCATATGTTTTTTGTATCAACTGAAAATCTAAATTATTTATTTTCAGAATTGATGAGCAAACAAGTTATTAACAATGAATTCTCTGCTGCAGCAATATATGCTGACCACGTCGCTTTTCTACCCACTTCTCACAATGTTCAACAAGTTATATATTTTCTAAAGTATCACTACTCTAACGTGACTTGTAATACTGTTAAGGAAATATTTTACAGAAATAATATTGTCTGGATCTTTAAGTACTTTGGATCTGAAGGATTATACAGAAATTTACAGTGGATAAGTTCTAACGGACTTTTCCAGCTGTACGCCGGATTATGGAAATTCGTAGCTGAATATGGTGCTCGAAATCACCCCGCCCCTTTCCCAAAGGGTGTTGGAGCGCTGGAAAACCTTTTTGTCGCCTTTCAGCTATATTTTCTTTTCATAGGATTTGCAATACTAAAGGCCTTTCAAGAAATTGTTCTCTCCAAAATTAACCTCCATTTGAAGATTTCCTTTATGCTCCCCAAATTAATCTGGGTGATAAATAAATAAAGCTAAATACTGAATACTGGACGTTCATAATGAACATAAAATATACGCAATAAAGCACTGAATATTTGTATATTGATATATATCAAAAAAATATGGTTTAATGCCAAACATGCAATCATAATTTATGCATATTCTCCACTACACATGCCTATATGAATGTAGCCAACGAATGCTAGAGTATAGAAGTCGCGATATCTTTCGGCTTCATAGATGTTCACATATACATATACCAAGCAATATATTTGTACGATTAGTCATGTTTAGACTTTAGTTTACACACTTTAGTTTACAAATCACTTGAGGCTTGAGTTTTACATACATACTATTGCCAATTGCCTTATCCATCACTGTTCTAAAGTTTAGCACTATCAAGGACAAAATATATATAACAATAGCCAGACAAAAATTTGAATTTTATCGGTCGTTGCAAGAAGGCAACCTGTGGTACTAGTGGTTTTCTTTCCTTCGAGATATTTCTGGTGGAAGCGTGCCCGCGGCGTCAAACTATCTCAAGGTTCTCCATCACTCGCCAAATGCCACGGTATAGATAAGTGGCATAAAAGATCTGGATGTGGCGAGTTTTCCCTCCTGAGGCCTTGACATTTTGGATGCTTCATACAGCAAACAACTTGAGTGGATTGTCGAATAGATTTTACTAGCATATGTACATAAGTGAACTGCACGAAATATTTAGAAGAATAAATGTAACACACGCAATCAACGGATATTTTAATCCCACATAGTCGGAGCTACAGATATGTAGCTTCCGAGGCCTGACGTGTCCTTAGTAGTCGTAACCGTTCTGCAAAGGATTGGCGAGTGCTTACTGCTAATCAGCGAAGTATGTTCGCTACACAAAAACTACACGGTAGGGTAGCTTCGCCCTTTATCTCAGATGACGAGGTTAGGAAATCTCGTCGATCACCCAAACTTTTATTATATCAGACTCCAATTATGGCCATCAGACACATATTATTCGTCCTATCATTTCTGATATCCTCAACTACCCATGTAGCGGTTTCCCTAACAAATTTTAACCACAATCCTAACTGCCTACTAATGACAACAATTACACACGATATCGTATCAGATTCTAGGATCCTTGACGTAATTCTTCACTACGAGCTTCACTTATCATTCGCCCATCACAACGGATATGTTGTGAAACATCTGCATTCCATAAAATCTACAAGTCTGCAACTGTGGAAAACATGTTGTATTGAAATCGTCATATTTTCAAATAGTGGTCATATCATTGATGAAAGCATTACACCTTGGGGACACCTGAAAAACACGGTGATATACATGGTGTTTTCCGCCAATGGTTTTAGTAGTTGGAAAGCACACCAGTATGTTAATTTGTTGCATTTCGCTGTTCCAATCTATTTAATAATAGTAAATTTTGAACAAAACTTGATTTTCACAAATTTGCTCCATCCGGTAACCAATTGTGATCAGTATGTGTGGAAAACGTTCGCCATCCACTACAGTAGTGGACGACCACCCGAAAAGTTTCCCACTGCTGACTCCTTGATAAAATCTAGGCTACTATTTGACTTCAACCAATATATGTTTAGATTGGCTTGTGGCTGGACTTCGGTGCATAAGGTCATCGAACATGTTTGCGAAAATCATCGCTTCTCTCTAGCCAATGGAAACCTTTGCTTCGTGGCTTGGGGACCAATGCAAGTACTAATGAGGAGACTAAATTTTACATATTCCGAAAATAGGTAAAAACGATTGTTTCTTAAATCTCTTTATCAACCGCATTGTCGACAAATTGATCACTTTATTAATTAAGAGCGAGCAAAGCGTTGCTTTTTATGATTTTACACTATACGTTTCTTCCTTCTTCCGTCCATATCTAAATATTTATACGCGCAACAACTTTCTAGCGAATGAGAATTTCGACATAAGGTTTTCACCAATATGTGTAGAAGATTAATATAGAACTCGAGGGTGGATCCTCTTGGTCACCAAAAAAGGTCAACAACTTTTATTTGCGGCGTATTAGGCTGAAATTATCGTAGGAAAGTTAATACAAAGGGCCTCACAATAAATGTTTCACGCTAGGGGATCGTTGTCCCCCGTGACCTAGAAATCAGGTGAGAGATCAAGAATTAATTTTGTCATGTAGCGTGTGTATGGATGATGTACATTGAAATGACGCGAGGAATGGGACGAAATAAAAGTCTTATTCAACATGAATACTTAATTTTAGTTCTTAACTTTCTAGAATTATGATATGAAACAAAAGAGTGGTGGCAAAATTTGTACATCGATCTATGCAACTCTTTACCTTCGTCTCAAGTCCATGATAGCCAATAATATGTAGGTGATTTACTTATGAAATTTGTTCATTTTTTCACGATCTTTATGTTGGTATTCAGCAAACCAAGATTAACTAATTAATAAACCGTAGTAACGTTAGAAGTAGCTCACCCTGTATAATTTTGCACCAAAGTTGCAAAATAAGAGGATAAAATAGATACATAATTTTTATGTAATGTTGCACCAATGTTAAAGAATAAACTGGAAAAAAGAAATTTGATATAATATTGCACCAATGGTGCAGCCGAAATGGCTAAAATTGGGACTAAATTTTGACACGATTTCGACGTTAAGTTATGGGAACCAAAGCTAACTAGAACTTTCAGTTAATCCTAATCATTGGTGCAGAATACATGGATTCCTCCAATTATTTCGCACCATTTTGCCTTAACGACTTTTTATTCAATTGTGCTACAAATTAGGGATAAAATGGTCTCGGGACTTATTAATTAGCATCAAGTGATGCAAAAAACTCGTGAACAGACAGACAGACGGACAGACAGACAGACGGATAAGAGGAATTCAATAGCTCTCATGCTACGCAGGGTGAGCTAATAAATGAATGAGCAATTACTTACAATGGAGAGGTGTCAGGTGGTTATCGCCTATGTGGACTGGACTAATTTTAAATTGTTCAGGCCCATAAATAAGCCCACCCGTATTTTTTCGTTTTCCTGAATGGGCATATTTACGCCCGTGGCGGAATTTTCAAAAAAAATTTCAGCCAAAATCCTGATTTTTAAAAACGCTGTAACTTTTCGAATTTTAGCCCGATTTCAAAAATTGAATACAATTTGTGTTCAGAATTACTTCCCTGCAAATATAAAACTTCATTTTCAAAAAATTTGTAATTTTCAAAAAATTATCGTTTTCAAAAATTTTCATTTCTAAAAACTCAGAAATGGCATGAAAATATTAAATTTAAAAAAATTTTGAAAATGAATTTTTATATTTTCAGGCAATTAATTCTGAACACAAATTGTATTCAATTTTTGAAATCGGGCTAAAATTCGAAAAGTTACAGCGTTTTTAAAAATCAGGATTTTGGCTGAAATTTTTTTTGAAAATTCCGCCACGGGCGTAAATATGCCCATTCAGGAAAACGAAAAAATACGGGTGGGCTTATTTCTGGGCCTGAACAATTTAAAATTAGTCCGGTCCACATTGGCGATAACCACCTGACACCTCCTCATTGTTAGAGTTATAAATGATAACGGGGATGATTGATGTGAGACGATACCTTACGCTCGCTCTTGGTTGTATTTAGTTCATAACAAATTATTATTTTTACTTGTTTATCAGTTTATTCATCAATCATGTGTCCTGATACCTTTTGCATATGTTTTGTTTAGCAACCAGTCCAACAATCGCTCAGAACTTGGTGTTGCGCGATACATGTGGAAATTTACACCCGGACTGAGAATCCATCTCGAGGAAACTATTCGCCATAATATTCTCTATTGCCAAAAAAATCCAATCTTCTTATCATTAAAGATTTCGCGTTTCGTTTTTCACTACTATTGACACTTGGGCATGGATGGGATTCATGACCGTCTCGTTTTTCTTAGGATTAACTGAGCTAGGTGGATATACAGATATTGCCGTGACATTCCTCAAGGTATCATTACCCAACAGGTAAGATGCAAGAAAGTAAAAACCGACAATGCTGTCACGCAGCCTTTGTATTGCTGAGTCTAATCAAAATAGCTATTCAGCGTTCCCATCGAAACGAAAAATTTCAGTTCGATCGAAATGCGAATCGAAACCAAATATTTTCAAATGGAAATGTAGAGTTGTTTCGCTTCCACGAAACAAAATTAAAATAATTCGTTTCGAATTTCGACGAAACAAAATTAAAATAATTCGTTTCGAATTTCGATGAAATGAAACGAGGTATTTCGAAAAATCCTTCAGGGATAGTAAATGAATGGCAAATTTGCAATTCGGCTTCGAAAAGTCGAATAGAAATCGCACTAGTTTCGAAACGAAACAAAAATGCTGAATTTCGTTTCGAACGGAGCACTTTTGTCTTCGTATAAACTTAATATTCATCTCAACCACGCTCGTACTATACCAGGACATCCCTCACATCCTTTGGGGTGCTCTGTATAGTGACAATGGTTGCCATCAGCTCATCCTATGACGCCATTATCACAACCGACATAATCGCACCTCCTGAGAAATATGTCATTGCAAGAATATTATTTGGGATTTCAAATATTTTGGTTCAGAAGGATTATACCGTACTTTACAAGGGATGAGTTCCAACGGACTTTACCAACTATATATAGAGTTTTGGAAATTTGCCAACGCACGTGGTGAGAGAAATCAAACTGCCCTTATACCCAAAGATAATTTAGGTTTGGAAAATCTTGTAGTTGGCTTTCAATTATACTTCATTTTAGGTGGGTTTGCAGTTCTTAGTTTCTTTTAAGAAATCGTCGTGCAGAAGTTTAACATCGACGATAAGATTTCATTTGTGCTGTTGAAATCAAAATTTCAATTCTATCGCGTGGCTGCTATGATTTGCACTGTTTTGTCTAAACTGAAAAATATGTGTCATGCAGTCATCATGAAGTTAAGAAAATTAATTTATATGGTAAATTATTTGTTTCATAATTACATAGTTAGTTACAATGTTAAGTTGTTTTAGTAGCAAGCATGGCATTATATTTACATATATAGGGACACTTATGTACTGCCTTGATTTAATCAGTATGGTCGTGTAAAATTTAAAATGTGGCCCGTCTTGAAGACGGGCTTATAGGCGACTTGTTTAATATAAACTACAGACTACAGGTTCTTTTTGCAAAGGTAAGATTACCTTTTAGAGTAAAGTTTTTTATGTATTAAGTATTTTATAATAATAATTGTATAAATTTTTTAGACAAGTGTAATGATTTTAATGTTCTTATCTACATAAATATGATGTTATCAATATTTTTATGTTTTTTGTTATCAATTATCAATTCCTGTCATCAATTAAGTTATCAATTATTGTATTTATAAAATGTTGCATAAAAAAATAATGTGTAGTAACTAGATACTTAATTAGCGAATTAAAGATTATATGGTAAATGATCTATAATTTAATAAATTTTAGATACTATCATCTGTAAGTGGTCCGAATCCGGCTGATATTCTTTTCATACTGTCAATATTTCTGGTGGTATTTAATGATTTACTATTTAATTGAAATAAATTCGAACCTGGTTAATTATTCAATACTAACAAAAAATTATCACAATTCCACAAACATGACCAGAATTCTGAATCTCCAACAAGTAAGCACTAATTTTTCCAAAAATGTTTGTGACAAGTTTCTCATTTTTTTACACATGTCTTGATAATGGATGGCAGATATAAGCACGATACGAGATATCATAGAATATGTAATTCGAAATATTGACACATAAAGGAAATTTTGCCTTCGTTTTTCATTAAAATTTTATTTAAGCCAATTATTTAAAAAACTATTTACATACAGTAAGTAAATTATTTAATGCTTCGATTTTTAATTTCAATTTCAAATATATACATATGTAAAACATGTATCTGACAAATGTACATAACTTGCATAAGTGTGCAGCTGGCGAATATCTGTTTATCCAATTTGGCATGTGGTGAGTTCACCGAGGGAAAAGTGGATTTCTTAGGAGCTGAAAAAGTAAAGTTACTCACATTTCCAAGAAATCACTTGGCAGAATTCCAGCTACTGCTGTGTAGCCATGAATGCAGTCCATTTGCCAGTCTTTTCGTTAAAATATGGGCATATAATACGGCTACATACTTAAATATATTTCAGGGTCATCATTTCACATCAACTCTAAAAAACAATGTTGCCCTTTTGAAAAATAAATTCACAGAAATATCTATGTAAACTGTAGAAAATCCAGAGTAACGATAGGTTGATAAAGAGCCAAGTTTACTCTGGATTTAGAATAGTTTACTTAATACAGACTTGAGTGTGTATTTCTAGGGTTGCCGCGGGTAACGGGTCGGGTACCCGTTACCCGCATACCCGCACGATTTTTGCGGGTACCCGTTCTCTGCGGGTAGCGAGAACTACCCGCACGGGTAACGGGTAGTCCAGTTTTTATTTAATTTTCGACTTAAAACAGCTCACAAAGAAAGTTAGTCCATTTACGAACAAAAGCACCAATTTATTATTTATTCATTTCAAATTTTGGCATTTTCCATTTGCCAGCAACTAGCGTTGATAGCGAGCGTGTGTTTTCGGAAGCAACAGAAGCCTACGGCAGCCTTAAATGCTTTTTATTCTTGGAAAATGCGGAGAAATTATTGTTTCTCAAGAATAACTTGCCTGCTCTGAAACATCAGTAATAACTTGACTTGTACTTGTGTCTTTATGTAAAACTGACGAGATTTTAATTTGTGCTTTGAAGGTGAAAAACTTGAATCGATTGAAAGCAAAAATTTTATTTGTAGGCAATTTCGTAAATGATGCCTTCATTTAAAATATAAATTTTAAAAATCAGACTAAAAATTGACTCTATTTTCAAATTACACAAGGATTGTCTCGCGAGTATATCAAAATATTAACGTCAAAGTCCAATTTTTAAGTACATGTTTTGCATCTTTTTCCTTCGCTGACGTTAACCATAGTTGACTTTGAACTCTCCCCCCAAATAGTTTTCTTTTAACGGGCTATTCAACAGAAAAATAAGTGATAATTCCTAATTTTTGGCTTGATTTTTCTATATAATTCGCTAAGAAATCACGGCATAGGCTTGAAAAGGTTCCATTGTAAGCCAAAAAAGTTTGGTTTCAGAAAAATCTAAGGTCATCTAGCAAATTATGGCATTCGGTACCTGCACAGTATTATATCCAACTACTGAACAACCCAAATGAGCAAATAATTGATTAAATCAAATTTATTCTGAAGGTTAGTTAGTTTTAACTTAATTCTCGTAACGGGTAGCGGGTAACGGGTACCCGCACGGGTGCCCGTGCGGGTACGGGTAGTTGTGCTGCGGGTAACGGGTCGGGTAACGGGTAGCATTTTCGCTACCCGCGGCAACCCTATGTATTTCAGTACTTGCCAAAATGGTAAAATTATGTATTTTTTAGAGTGTGGAAAAGCTAAAGTGGGACGTAAATATTTATGTTCCCGAATTTGTTTAAGAAATCGAATTCTCAATGAGTCAGCTACATCCAGTTTTGCACATGAGCTCGATCGCGTACGTGGGAAAGAACGATCCGCGCAAATTGTGAGGCCAAATTTTTGCATTTTTTAAATATCATACCAGAAAGGTATAGAATTTGCCAAAATGAAGCTAACCTGTTGCTGCAGTTTGGGCCATGGAGCGCTTGCCATTGGGATTCTGCACATTGTAAGTAGACTTTAATCAATTTGGTTAATGATTATGAAATTGATTCCTAATTGTATTCGGGTCAAAATTTTCAATTGGCGTATTTAGTTTTTGACAGAAAAAAGATCATCAAAATAAGGATTAATTTGGGATTATACAGAATCAATTATTACCAGATTTTCTCAAATAAACGTTCAAACGAAAACTACACTCTTAGGCAAATGGTATTAAATCATTACCGGCAGGAGTACATAATAAACCAGATTGATGACGAGATTTATGTAGATGTATGATTTATGTAGATTTATTTATGTAGATTTATTAAGTAGCTTCAGCTACTTTATGTGAAGACTTTGTCTGTCTGTCTGTCTGTCTGTCTGTCTGTCTGTCAGCAGGATTACGGGAGAACGGATCAAGATAATCGAAATCGGTTTTTGCCATCATACATAGGACCCCAGGGGGAGGATCCTATCAACTTTTGGGGGCAACCGGACCACCCCCCTGGCGCCAGGGGGTGTGGTCGGGGTAAAATGAGATTTTTAGTGCAATTTAATCTAAAGATGAAATAGAGTGAAATTAAATGGTCCTGCGCTGATTGGGGTGAAGTGTGACTGAAGCTACTTCCGTATGCGACGGTTTATTTATGTTGAATTACTTAAATAATTTCAGATTGTCAATATCTTCTACCTTCTGAGGAATTGTTTGATGATATATCTCATCATCCACCGTCCCGACCTCACGACCGTCTTATGGAAAAGTACGCGTAAAAAACTCAGCTCTTCTTTCAACTAATTTTGCAAAAATAATGTCCGCCAGATAAAGCATGTGATCGATATTCGGGGTATTTTGTCCCTTACCCCCCGGTCAGCATGCCGGTTCGCATTCATTCATGTGACTGATTATGATAGTCAATGAAAATCAATTGCATAGGATGCCTTGACCCTTAACCACTTTACCCCTGAAAGATACATATTTTCATACTTTTCACCCCTAGCAACCTGGAATTTTAACTTCCCTTGACCCCAGAATTCTCACCTACTGCATGACGTTAATTGCTGGGATATGAATTACAAAATAATGTTCACACCGGAATTATTCTGGACACTTTTTTATGAAAGTTGATGCGAATAACAATTTGGGCACGGATTTTGAGTTGTGATTTGAATTTTTGCGAACCACAATGTTTATAGCCGAAAATAGCCAACACGCCGAATTTTAAAAGTGATTGTAATTGCATGGAAAGTTAAAGAAACATCGAGTAATACTTGCATAATAAATGTTTAGTACATAAATTCGCAAAAATCGATTATCGCGCCTCAAGCTCCCCAGAAGCCAATTTGGGCGGGAAAATTAAACTTCGAAAATACTAGTTTCAATTCGTGACATAGGCTACAATTAATTTAGTGAAATATGTAGCAATTGTTTCTTGTACATCTAGCATGCATAAAATTTGGTGATTAGAACTCAATTTTAAGTGGGAAAATTAAATGCTATTAGTTTCAGGCAGTCTCTTAATTTTCCCGCCCAAAGAGATTTCACCAGCTCCAGACGCGTAATAATTAATTTTGACGAATTTTGTCGTACTGGCAATATTATTTGTAGCCCATAATATTAATTTCATACAATTCATCCAACGTTTAGTTTTCCCGCCAAAAACGCCCGTTGGTGCATTCTAAATTCGAGAAAAACGATTTCCCTAATCTTATCTGATAGCACTGTTGAAATAGGCGACGAAAATCCCATCCAACAGCAGTTTTCAAAACTGGGCGTGTTGGCTAGAAATAGCCACATAGCCAGAAATTGTTTTTACCTTCCTGTATAACATTGATTCCGAAGAGGAAATTCATCTTCCCGCCCAAAGGGCGGGTTATTGACTCAAAACTATACTTGGAAGGGCAATGAGCTAATTTTTTTTTTCGAATACGACACATAGTCGTAGGCCGGTGTGAACAGAAAATACGCCACATAGTCGAATCCGTGGTTAACGGTCAATACGACACATCGTCGTATTCCGGTGCCAAGGGAACTTACGCCGCATGGTCGTATCCGGCGTAAAGAAGAAATACGCCACATAGTCGTTATAGGGGCGAAGTGGTTAACCCACTAAAATCGATCACATACTTTCTGCAAAGTCCTTTTTCGAAAAAGTAAATGCAGTCTGAATTCTAAACTGTACGAAATCCAGAGCAGCGTTAACTTGCCAAAGAGGAAAGCTTACCCTGGATTCTGTATAGTTTTAGTTTGCTTAATTACTCAGAATTCTAACTGAATTCACTTTAAAAAAGGGTAGCATTATTTTAAGAGTGAAATTAAGTAAATACAATGAAATTAATATTTTCAGTCTTCTTTTTCATCACGACCAGTGTTGAGCTGATTTCCTTGATTTTGGGGTGCCTCATGGTGCACGGATATCGTGTCGTGAGTGTCGTAATTTTGAAATATAAATTTGTGCAATATTTATTAACATAATACTAAGTTACTGAAAAGATTTTGGCATGATTTTACTAACCCCGTAAAAGTTTTGTTGCCCTTTTGCGAAGATTTTTGTATGTTTTTGCTACACTCTTAAAATTAATATTACCCTTTAGAAAAGATTTTTGCGTGTTTTTGCTTCACTCTTAAAGATAATGTTGCCATTTTATGAAGATTTTCGAGTGTTTTTGCTATGCTCTGAAAAATAATGTTGTCATTTTGCAAGAATTTTTGCGTGCTTTTGCAACACTTAAAAATAATGTCCCCCTTTTTCAGGAATAAATTCGCCCTAATTTCTAAATAAGTAAACTATATATCAAATCTAGCATACCATTAAGTTGATAAATAGTAAAATTTACCCTGGATTTAGTATATTTTACTTAATTTATAAATCAGTACGAATTTACTTTTCTAAAGTGGAACATAAATTTTTTGGAGTGTAAGATTTATCCTCAATTTTACAGCGGAATCACTGCCTGATCAAGCCCTGGCTGGTGTGGAGCTATTTCCTTCTTGCCGTTACGATTGTCTTTCTCGTGGCACTCGCATTAGTAGGAATAGCAAATTCTAGAGGGATAACTGTAATGCTTTCGTTTTTCGCCATTTCCGGAAGTTACCTGGCATTGCAGTTCTACTTTATTATCGTCGTGACCACATTTATGGATAAGTTGAAAGAAGAAGAAGAAAACCTGGGTGGGGGTGAAAATGGGCTAGAGAATTGTTAAACTTTGATGGCTTTATAGTTTTACAATTTTTGCGGTGCTTGTTGATAAATAAATTTATGGAAATTGGTCCGAAATAAACATATGTATGTATCAATTAATTAATGGGACGATAAACTAGGCTGTTTATATCAAATGAGTTCAGATGAAATTCTAAGGAGGAATACGTACGACCTTTTCAATGCCAGATCTTGATGCCAGGGCCCTACTTCACTCGCCACACCCCTTTGAAGGCGCGCCCGATGCGAAAAAAGCCGTACGAAAAAATTCACCAAAAATCCAATTTTGCTCGGATTTTCATAATTTTTGCATATTCTTCATCCCAGATAGTTTCTTTATCAGATCAAGTAGCAAAATCAACTTTTTGGATATTTTCGAATAATTCCTGAGCAGGGGTAAGGCTTCAAAAAATGACTGACCTTTGACCACAACCCCTGGAGGACGTGGCTTGGCGAGAGATATGTACACACGTATTTATTTTTTTACAAACACTATTTGGTAGCTTTTATTGTCATGTTTCATTACATATAACATTGTATTAAATCGGAAATTATTTCCGAATTAGATACTCAAGTTAACAATTAGCTAACAATTGTTTGAGCAAATACAACTGGTGTTGGAGCACTGAAAACAACTGTACCCCATGCAATAGCAGGTGTTACGGCATTTATCATCTGGGAAGTCGCCACACCAGGAAATCTGTTTGCCATTATTGATGTTCAGGAAAATGTCCCTTGCTGAAGCCGTAGGTGGTGGGTCGGCGGGATTGATAAATGCTTTCGTAGCGTTACGAGGATGTTCAGGAGAGCCATATGCCTGCAAAGATAAAAAATGGAGACAATGCGAATAATTTCGATCAAAATTTTCCAGATTCTATTTAGTTACCATAGCGAGCACTGCCCCAAGCAAAATGACGATCATCATGCTCTGCATGATTATTTGGTGTCTTTGGGAAGTTTCCTAAGTTGTCGTAGTAGTTGTTCGTCCTCTTATCTTGTATTTGCAGATGCGTTGGATGCCAAGTGCCAGAACTCAGGGCCTTTTTATATTCGATCCAAAGCCGGATTTAGACGGTGTACGCGATGTAAACACTTCTCAATAACTGACTCGATGCATGCACAAGACCACGTAGCGTGTATATTATCGGTTCAAATTGTATAAAAATACTTATGTTTACTCATTTTTACTGAATTTGTTCCCATAGTTCAGAAGCTTGACTGCATAATGATATCAGTCAATTGCATGGCACATCAGCAAATATCTGTACATAATGCCTGCAGGTTCATTATAATGCAGTCAGGTTGGCTGATGCATACATGAATCTTAAATTTGATTACAGTTGTGCTTGATAAACCGTGTTAATTCGCACCTAGTGTGACAGTGACTCTTGACATGCAAATTGGCTAGAAGCATCTGGTCATATATTTTGCCACCTAGGGATCAAACGGGATCAACCTGCCTTCATTAAGGAGCAGATTATCCTTCGATTTCGGGCTGGTCGGCCTGCGGGACCAAGTGGATGGGACCGTGTTCGAGACTCGGGTGCAAAATATTCTAGAAATCCTGGGACCAACCCGTCCCAACCGGAGCATTTTAGTAGCTACGAAAGATATTGAGTATATTGTACAGCTTATTGAACAACATTACTTAAACGGAACGAAAGCCAAGTGTCACAAGATTGAGAATTTTGCCCTTATCATGACCTATTTTGACGGAGTAAGGGTGCGAAGGTATCGCGAATTTGGCAGGGTGGCGACCTTTATGGAAACGATGGGCCTCACAAAATTGTGTAGGGAAAGATACAAGTTTTATTTGAAAGTTACCTATGCCCCTTGGGGTGTGGATATGAAAAGTTCGTAAATAGAGTTACTACGATGATTTAGTTTCACTTTGTATTTTTTGCAGCATTTTGGTAGCGGGGGTAATTCTGATTTACTTAGTTGAATTGGGTACGCTCTTTAAATAATTGTAACCAGATTATCACCAAATTTTAGACGTACGCATATATACGCCTCTACTAGTTTTGTTATAGCCCATAACGGATTGGTGATTCGCTGTGGTGTTAATTATAACCGCAATCAATAACAATATAACCGCAATGTACTAATAAACCGTAGTAACGTTAGAAGTAGCTCACCCTGAAATGATTTGGAGATAACTTTGCACCATAGGTGCAGAATAAGCGAACATTAAGGGCAAAATTAGGATTTCATTTTGCATCAAAGGTGCACAATAAGCCGACAAAAGAGATACATATTTGCGACACAAATGAGTACCAATAATGGAAAACAAGCGATGAAAATAGATACGTAATTTTAACCTAATATCGAATCTTAGCTCGCTCTCCGGAAAATGCGGTATCTAGATTGTTTAATTGCTACTGCCAGTTATTCGGTACTTCTGGTGCGTTTTGCATCGATTGTCCCAATTGTTTTGTATCATACAAAATAGACAACCTAGATACGTGATTTTAATAGAATTATGCACCAATGGTGGAAAATAAGCGGACAAAATTATTAGCCAATTTTGACATAGATTATTGCATACCAATTGTGCTACTAATTTGGGTTAATATGGTTTTGGGACTTATTAAATAGCATCAATTGATGCAAAAAAACTCGTTAACAGACGGGCAGACAGACGGACAAGAGGAATTCAATAGCTCTCATGCTACGCAGGGTGAGCTAATAATGTTACTTACCGAACGGTTATTAGCTTACCCTGCGAAGCATGAGAGCTATTGAATTCCTCTTGTCCGTCCGTCCGTCCGTCAGTCTGTGTGTTCACGAGTTTTTTGCATCAATTGATGCTAATTAATAATCCCCTTGACCATTATTGAATACGTTAGGCGCACCATTGGTATCGAACTATCCGTGGCGCAAATGGTGCGAATTATTTGTTCAAATGGATCGAGAAAGGACTACAATTTTGGAATAGGTAGCAGTGGCCGCGGAAGATGATTTTGACCGATTTTACTTCAACATAAAGGTAGTGGTCGATACCATGTTAAAATCGCTTATGGGAAATTGAATTCTGTAGTTTCCGGACTATATATTATATGACTATATATATTATTTGTAAATCACAATCACTTAAATTTCTAAATAAGTCTTGAAAACTTGATATTGGATGACGGTTCGTGGCATGACCAAACTGAGTAAATTATAAATGAGTGAAACATTTGTTATTCAATACTAAACAGACTGATGACCTTGCATAAGTTTTACGAACATCGGGGGATAATTAATCAAAGTGTTACCTTGCGTAATTAACTTGTTCTTTGCAAACTCTACGTAACTAGATACTTTAATTAATTCAGGCTGGGTAGTAAATATGTATATATGTAAATATATATGTATTTACATAAATGTTGATCTCAGGATTGGGCAACAATTAACAAATAAGTTCGTGCATAAGAATTACTGAAATATTAAAATTGAATTAGTATTAATCTTGCTTTAATTCCAAATTTAGAATATCTATTTTACACACTGAATTTAGTTTGCGTTATTAATATTTTAAACCCATTAGAAATGCCTATGATTTGATTCATTCTTAATTTATGTATGTTTCGTTACAGGGTACAAGCTTCAATTTCTTGCTTTCTTAAGCTGAAAAAAAAATTCCTTGGTAAACCCAACATTCTCAATTACGGGAAGTTGTTTAAGAAATATTATATTTTCGCCGGTATGAGAGACTCCGTCCCTGCAATCCTCAACCATGTGGTGCTTACTTTTGGAATGCTCTACAATCTAAAAGAACCAAATAAAGTTAGGCACACAAATAAGATAAACTATTTTCATAAGTACGTAGAATTTATTCGCTAAATGAATCCTCTTACCCCATTAAGAAGGGACAAAATTTCTATCCTCTTATTTGCGGCGGCAATTTCTACCGCTTTGATAAACAGCTGAATGAACCAGGCTCCTTGTTCGTAGCGAAAGGATTTAGTATCTATTACAATTACATATGTACAACATTTCCAATGGATACCGCCACAATTTAAACACTATTTAACACATCCAATTTTGTTTTACCCCGATACGATGAAAAAATAATAAGACTGTCAGACATTTCGGGAAGAGTTTGACTCTAGGCAGATGTATCAAGAAGTTAGCAAAACTAGTTTGGGCTCTGTGCATAGGTGAACAGCATGAAATGATTTAATTTACCTCTGCAAACGGTAAATTTGTCCAGAGTTCTTTCTCCGTATTGGTCGGAATACTTTTGTCTTCCTCTGCGAGGGTCGGTCTAGCTCGGATATACATTCATAGATCAGCAACAGTCATGCACATAGGAATGTTGGATAAGCTCAATTAATTATTGCTGTTTGACATACCTCTTGAACATCTGATGTTTCAGTGGCGAAATATCTAACCGATCCCCACTAAAAATTATTTAAAATTTTTGTAAATTTGTTACACCTTAAAATGATACTAGATGACGCTCTTCCCCAGCTAAATTGTTGCTTAAGAATCCTTGTTGGAAAGTTAAAACGTTCTCATTTGGTTCAACTTTGAATGAATTATAAATTTTACTACTTATACAAATGTTCATATACATATTTTTAATTTGGAAAGTCGTAATTTGGAAAAAGAGATTAGGGCAATTTTTTGAATAACATTTATACCGGATTAAAGGTTAACCGAGACGAAAAAATTAGACTGGTGGTAAGCACACAGCGCACTCATCCTTTTAATTTTTAGGCATTTTAACATACCGGCAAGTTTGAATTACAAAGATTTGCGGAACACCCATCAAATTATGACAGTTTCCATTTCCAAAACGTTCAATAATTTCCGTGAAAATATCAATTTCTTTCCCATCGCTGGCAATAATATTGTCATTTGAACCGTGGCCCATAACCGCTAAGAAAATTCCGTCAATTGACCTCTTTTCGTTCTTAATTGCACGAAGAAACTTATCCAACGTTTGGAACACGTCCTGAAATTTAAACATATCCGCCGTGTTAAAACAAGTAAGTAATCCCAGTGCAATTACTTAACCTTCTTTGTGGATTCTGGCATTGTGACGGTGACCTCATATTTGTACTCTAGACTCTCCAGGAGATCCTTCAAATCCTTCGAATCATTCTGAGCTCCTTTGCGTTCAGCATGGTCACAATTAGTATACTTTACAATGTTGATTATTAACGCGTATCTGGCATTTCCTATATGTTGAACGTACTAAACAAATTTTCGTAAATTTAGGATTTTTTCTTGAGAGAAGTGGAAGAGCTTGCTGCAGCCTACCTGAGCTTTGATCATGTTGCGAAGAACATCACGTATGTCGCCTCCAGTAATTCCGTCCACATGGGAATTATTTTCTTTTGTCTGATCGTTGATAAAACCATCATTGCCTTCAGTTGTTTCAAGGTAGAACCAACCCCTAGTTGAAGGCTCGCAGTGAAACCCCATTTCGACTTTAACAGATGTCTTCAAATTTTCGGGGGTGACTTTTTCATTTCCGGTGCTTCTTCGAACCGTAAATTTGTTGCAAATAGTCCCTTGTTTCCTATCGTTGCTGTGAACAGAGCATGTGCCCTGCTGTGGCTATGGGTTCCCACATCTACGATGTAATTTCTCCATGTATTGTGCCCAGGTTGACAATAACCAAGATTTGGGTAGAAATCGGCATGACCACACGGTTTCATTGTGCCGAAAGGGCCTAAATTCACAACGGCATTATCTTCAAATTGTGCCAAAGTGGCATTGGAAATCTTTTGGGGTGGCTTTTCCTTATCATGGTATCCGTCTGTGTGGATAACGTCAACAAAACTGGCATCCTCCGAGCAAAGCATTTTCTCCGTGAAATTTTCAAATCCTGCACCTGCCGGATCAAGTCCGGTAATTCTGTTGATTAGTTTCTTCTGCGAGCGGCAGTATCTCCCAGCCGCACCCATGAGGTGGGAGCCCAAACTATGGCCAATGCCCCAAACATAGGTTGCAATTTTCTGTTTCGAAAATTCTTCCTGAATGTAAACAATCAATTTTCCAAGCTGTTTCCCAACTTCCAGGCAATTGGCTGCTGCTTTGGCGTATCTGCAGTTAAACCCAATGTTACAAACATAATGTTTGATAATCAAAACACATTTTAAAAACATGCTCAGGTGAGGCTTCGATTGGAGATTAAAGACAAGTTCATGCATACTTATAAAATTGAACCAAAAGTTCTTCATCCCCTTAAAATTTATTTCGCATAACCGTGGGCAAACAACTAGAATTCTAGAGAGGGAGTTTGTCCAAAATTACTTGTCACTATTTCTTTCCAATATTTGTTTGAGAATGTTTTTTGTGATTTTTTTGATTTCTCGGTTTTTGAATGATCTCAGCTTTTACAACGGCGACTGCTTGTTGGGAAATTGTTTTTTTGTGCCATGTCATTGCACCTTTTATGATATTGGTTGTCAATGACAACTACATTGAAACTTTGTCATTGAAATGAACTTTGTCCTTGAAATTTTGTCATTTCCCAACCGATCAACCCCAGATTTGTTTTAATGATTAAATAATCGATTTTCCTATATTGAAAGTTATCAATTACATACATTATGCTGGAAAATGTTGGTCAAAAATCGATTCGAAAGTTTAAAAAACGTTTAAAACACAGTAAAGTAAACGGTATCAAAAATTGAGGTTGAAGTGGCCAATCTCATCATCTGGCTATGCAACATTTGCTTTCACAGCATTTTAATAAAATGGACCGTGAAGGGAGAATCCTCGTGCGACTTTTCGGAATGGGGGTGTAGAAAAGCATTCTCAGCCTTCGCGGTAACCATGGTTATGTACTTTCGGCTCACAAGGGAACCTCACGACCTGTCGTTTGAGTCCCCAGGTACTCCCCATGATTTTTAGAACTCCAGATGAAGGATGCGTTCATATTTCGGTGTTGAACTCATATTTGGCGTCGTGCCTTGGCGCTAAATTAGCCAAATTTGATGGTTTTTAATCTTAAAACCTCCATAGCTTTGAAGTGCTGGACGGATTTTCATAATTCTTGACTAAAATCATGACAAGGAGTTCAACCCTCGTATGTAATTAAATTTGTCAAAAAATTGAGTGTTTCAATTTGTTGTGAAATTTCGCAATTTGATTGAACATATGTAGGAGCAGGGCTGTTCAATTACCAATGGAAGTAATTAATTCTTAATTCTTAATTACTCCGACTGCGAAAATTGAAATTAAGTACTAAATAAAAATACTTATTTGTCCAGTAATTGAACTTAATTATCAATTACCAATTACTTATTAGTAATTGAAAGTCAATTACTTACGCTATTTAAAGGGTAACTTTCGACCAAAAAAATCATTTCCGAATAGACTAAAACTTTTATAAATATCTTGGTACAGCAAACAGTTCATCTATACGATCCAAAAGTTTAAAATTGCTGTGGGTCTTTACATCAAGTAGATAATGGCCTTTCCTACCCACAATTGCTAAAATTCTTAATGCGTACATCCCATCGCAACGTATCCCACATCCCGCCCAACTTTTCCTCGAACTCTTTTCCCCGCACTGCCAAGGTCTCCCCTCAGACCATTAACTCCATCCTTCGCCTCAACAATACTCTGGAGTTCTTGCACTTTAAGTTTTTCGATGCCATCGATTTTGATTTCGGTAACTTTCCCAGCTAAACCGCATCGACCGGGAACACCTCCGCGCCCGGGAAGGCCTCCACATCCGCCGAGAGTACCTTGACTCCCTTTGACCAAAAAATAAGTATGCATTCTAAATCTGCCGTAGTATTCAGCAAATGTCATACGAAGGCGGGTCTTGGTTGTTCCTTGAATAAATCTTGAACCCCTGGCTACAAAAATTTTCCAAGGACCTTCAACTTTCTGCTTTTCAACAATTTCCAATTCCGATTGTACTTTACTGAATGTATGAGCCTTATCTGAAGGAAATTTTTCTTTCAAATCCTTCAAAGTCAGTTCAAACCCGTCTGTGCCTGGTTTTCCATTACATCCATTACCGCCTGGTTGACCCCTTCCTCCATTCCCACCGTTTGCCTTGACCCGTAAATGCTTGAGGTTGTGATAGTTTTCCACAAGAAAGTATACACTTCCTCCATTTTCTCCATCGGTACCATCTCCCCCGTTTTGTCCAGGATCACCCCATTCTTTCCCATCTTCAGCGGGCTGGCTTGAGGCGTGGGCTCCATGATCGCCTGACATGTTCCATTCGCAAGGTTTGGTCACCTTGACTGTCTTTGAAATGATGATAACGTTCTTTCCATGCCAGTAATATTGTCTAAGATTTTCATCAATTTGTAGCTCTTCCTTTGCAATGAAACACACGTTGACAATGGGCTGACCCGCCTTAGAGTTACGCACCATAATCTCCTCCACGTGGTTTAAGCATTGCGATATTTCCAAAAAAGGGGAATGTACGATGAGGGCGTGTTGTTGGTTGACAAACGTGGTGTAGATTGACGCCATAGTCACCGGTTAACTTCTGATCTGATAAGCTATAACCATAACCCATTACGTATTTTATTTATTTGCATGCATAAATCTGTGTCGTCACATATGTATGTAGAAGTAGAGATTGGACGTGTCGTTACATAGATTCAAACTGTATTAATTGGCATTGCGAGAATCTTAACAGGCTTACAGGACATATGCAACTTATTAAATGCTACTATTTTTATTTTAAAATTTATATTCAATTTTCCCCGGAGCAGGTAGGTATTTCAAAATTATTTTCATACCAATTATTCAAAATTTATCGGACTACATTGTAGCAAATTTTCGAAGGAATGGAGATAAAATTGGTGAATCCACAAATATTTTATTGTTAAAATATTGCGAATTGCACGTTACATACATACATAATTAATGCTATCATACATACATAACTGGTGTAAATTTTCCGTTTTTCTTGAATACAAGGCAGAATTCCGTACTGATAAAAACTTCATAGTATTTGTGCTACCAAATGAAAATAATCTACCGAATTAAAATAGATCAATACCAGGGGAAACCGTTCTTGGTATCAAAATATTGGAAAAGTGATTTCCCTCCATAAATAACGCCTAACCTTAGGGAAAGTGTGTTAACAATTGAAAATACACACAGGATCTTTTAGGTTAGCAAGCAAGCAAGCTAGCAGTCGGCAATTAGCCTTAAATGTGCTACCGCCGCTAGCCTGGCTGTCTCTATTAATGAGTAGTCTGGTCACCCCACATAGTACAAGCAAGCTAGCAAGGATCCCGCAGCTTTTTATTTTAAAAGAATAGCTTCTTTATGTCGATAGCTTTTCTGCACAGTTTTCAAATACAAACCATACTCGGACCAGTCAAACTTTTTCAAACTAGAAATGAAAGAGTTAAGAATGCATATATGTATGTTGAAAAAATCTCATAACTAAAAGACAGAGACGACGGTTGCGTCTTCTTGTGTGCCGAGACATTTTTTTCCATGGAGGGGTACGGGGCGAAGAGAGAAGCTGATTTTCATGTAAACAAGGCAGGCAGTTGCATGTAAAAAGTTGCTTTGGGTTTTGGGAGTGACCGTTCCCACACTCCCACGCGGCATCGTGAACCAGAAAGGGAGAACAATCCCGACTAAAACAAAATGGATTAATTTCATTTTAGTGTCAATACATTCCTAAGTTTGTGCTTTACAATTGCCATGTTGAATAACTTCCATAATAAATCTCAAGAGAAAAGTATTGGACTGGAACATGGAAGTTATCATGTTCCAGTCCAATACTTTTCTCTGAGATCAGCGGCGTAGCCAGGATTGGGTATTGGGGGGGGGGCCAGCCAAAAAAAATTTCGATTACCCTTTTTAGGCTTAAAATTTCTACGTTCTCTCACTCATACCGTTTTAACATAGGGAACGGATACATAGTTACACATATCTTTAAGTATTAAAAACCATTAGCATTAGCATATCATATATGTATATCGCCTGACCAATCAACTCCTCAAACACGTATTTTACCTGTAGGAAACTTGGTGTATCTAGATAATTCATCCCAGTGGCTTTCTTATGACAAAAAGTCGGACCAAACATTAACGAGGGTCTCCAAATTCTGGCTAAAGGACCAAGTGCCTTTCACGCAAAGCGTGACACCACAAGTGGTAGTGGCCAGTTAAAAAATAAACCTTGTGTTCCTTGGATAGAAAACCTATAAGTCTTAATGACAAAATTTTAAAGATTACTTAAATATAAAACCAGTTTCTACTTGAGAAAAATTTGCCAAAAGTCATTAACAAGGAGCTTAGGGCACTATCGGAATAATTGGTCTAAAGATTAAGGACTAATATAGAGGGCGTAAATTTATTCCGGTAACATTCATTTTATGACCTCCGCAAGAATAATTTTTCAAGGATGTAAAATGACCTGAACAATTCAAAATAGAGATGCGTCGAGCAACGGTTTTCAAAAGCTCGGATCGCAAAAAGCTCAAAACCAGCTCGACACAGGAAAAACTCGAACAAGCTCGGCTCGTTCAAGCTTGACTTGAAAAAATCTTGGCTCGTTCAACTCAGTTGAACCGAGCCGAGCATGATCAAGCTCTGCTAAATTGAGCGTTTCTTGTGGCATACTCCATACCCAAACTAAATTCTAAGTGAATATTTATCGTTGTACAGGGTGTCCCATTTATTCGTGTGAAGGTTTGAGACATCCGTGCTCACTGGAGAGTAAATAAAAATCAAACCTGAAACCAAAATCGTGTAGGGCAGCTCAGAAAATAGCTTTCTGATTTTTTTGTAAACTTACTTTAAAAAGTGCGACCACTGTGCTCCCCTGAAGCAGAGAGTGAAACACTTTTCCGGACGATTTTCCACGGGAATCGTTATAAACCAAAACTTGAATTATATTGCCATGAAATGAATTAGCCATTAAATTATAAAATAGTGCATGGTAGACATATTCACGTTCAATCCAATAGTCTAACATCATTATGACCTTCGAAAAACTACCCACTGCTGAACGCCCGAAAAATCTTAAAATTTGTTTGGGCGACTTAACCCTCCAGAAAAATACCGAATCCCACTGCAGAATGGTCCAACGGGCAAATTGTAGTAAATCAACTATATCGAGACTAATTAAAACTAATTTTGGAAATATTATAACAAAAATGACCTATGCAGGTCTGCGCATTCAAAGACCACAAACTTTTCTGCGCCTACTGCCGAGAAAACTCAGCAGTGCGCAAAAACGGACGACGGTGATTTTGGTCCTGCAGTCGTAAAAAATCAAGACAGCCCTGGGTGGTAATCAGGCATTGACCGATTGGTCTATTTCGGATTTTTCATCGTGGAATGACAATTTTTACATTCGATGATTTACGAATTTTGACTCATTTTGGAACGCTTAAAATAATGAGTGGAAGAAAAACACCTGAGAAAAGTCCCTGTACGTATTTGTATCGGGTAAAAAGCGATGCATTCTTGAAGTTAAGAACAAGGGCCATCATGTAAAGCAAGTTTCGCCTTTAAAAAAGATCCGCTTCTGGGATAAAAAAATTGTTAAACTCTTCCACGGATAAAAGGGACACCCTCTGTATTAAGGTAATTAAGTTGTCCATAAATTTAAACTTTGGGTTTCCTGCTGGATATATAGCTATTTAGCTAAAATTTTAACAACCCAGAAATAAATTGTTAAACAACTGATTTGAAGTAGTTTTAACTACACGAATACAAATTTTTTACTTCACCTCAGTTGAAATTTTAGAAAACGACGAGCTTTTGAAAAGATCGGTTCGACTCAAAAAAAGCCTTGCTCGCTCTAGCTCGGCTCAGGAAAAGCTCAAAAAACTCGGCTCGCTAAAGCTCGGTTCAGAAAAAGCTCGGCTCGCTAAAGTTCAGTTAAAGTCGGGCTCACACTCGGGCTCACCGAGCACGAACAAGCTCGGTTCAACTGAGCATTTGGCTCACCACTGATCCAAAATTGTCTCACCTACCAGAAAAACACTGACTCTTCTCAAATTTCACGAGATACTGAATTCAACTAGTTAGTTTTAGTAACTTAAAGTTCTTGTCCAAATTATGAAAGGGAGTAATACCTGCAGTTCCGAAAAAGTAACATTTTCTTTGCAGTGAATAATGTTACCGGATTATGTAAATTTACACCCTTTGCATGTCTAATCTTGGCGACGAAGCTTACAATATTTTATACCGAAAAAGTGACGAACATTTGAATGAAAAATTCAAGGATTCAATTATTTAAATACACACAATGGATATTCAAAACCGGTATCCAGATTTCTCTTCGCATGCTTAGTATCGTAAAATTGCATAGAAATCAAAAACGAAGCATCAAGCTTCATAAAAACACTGAGCTTACAATGCGGAGACCTGAAATGGTTTTCTCAAATTTTCACCGGACAAATTTTAAACAGTTCGTAGTACGAAAGTATCAAAAGTAGAAAGTATCAAAAGTAAGTGAATTTTCTGGAATGTGCGTAGTTTCCCTTATTTTTTAACGGATTTTTTAACCAAACTCAGGATTTTTCAAAACGCTGTCACTTTTCCAATTTTAACCTGATTAAAAACATTAAAGAACAAAATACTTTACTAGAAACATTTGAAACTTGCATGCTACCTTGAAAGTTTGAAAAATGCAAAGAATATGAAACTTTTTAAAATAACAAGTTTGTGAGAGATAATTTTTTAAATTAATGTTCTTTAATAGTTGAATATCAGTTTAAAATTGAAAAAGTTATAGAATTTTGAATGATTCTGACTTTGGTTAAAAATTCCGATACAAGGGCAAATATACTATGTCCAGAAAGTAACTTAACAGTTTTAAAATTCGTGTAATATTAAAAGAACTTGGCACAACCCAAAGTGCAAAATTTATCCACGATCCTTAAGGCTTCTGCCCGTTAATAATGCCTCTCATTGTTTGGCTGACCCTTTTGTATCCAATTGAGCGAATTATTTTGGAATTATGAACCAAACGCTTTTTTCCCACTTTTACCGCAACAGCTTTGCAAATTTCGCTTGAATTACTTTGAAACCTTACAATTTTTTTGACTCCTCACCTCGATAGGAGTATTGTTATTTGCATACAAACCAAAACTTTCCAATCCCGCAAGGTTGAGAGACATTTGGTGGCTTAATTTGTTTGGGAGCATTTTCAATGTTTTTTTCCTACAAGTAGTTGGTCACAATTTTGCAGTTTGACACGTTGATAAGTCCGATCAAAATAAGACATCTTCTGTTTTCTGATGCTTATGTATGTAGGGCAATAACGTTGTTTTCACAAACTCCTGCAGGGACACGTTGTGGTCATAGACACACTTGATTTATGGGGTTCCAAAATATCCCCAAACTCATCGTTAGTTAGAAAAATTAGTCATTTTTGGGGGATTTTGTTCTTTTTTTAATTTCGGTTCATAATGCACTTCATTATGATCTAGTACATGGAAAAAGTTGCCTCCCGGAAATTTAGATGGGTTAAGTGTGACCCGGGTTCCATTGTCAATAATCAGTAATTTCTCCAAGCATTTTTTATGCAATTTTCGCAAACCAGTTTTTGTTCATTTCTCTTGATCCTCGACATAATTTGAAAATTTCTTGTTTGTGTGAGCAGTGAAGCCTAGTTTATAGGCTTCAATTCGGAACACGGTAAAAGGATCCATTTCCATCTATTGACCATAATTGCTAAGGGATATGGCAATATGCATATTTAAATTAATGCAAACGCAACATATCTCTTTGTGGGAGGATTTTATGGGGGTGTGGCCTTTAATGTGTTTCAATCTTATTTCAACAGCCTCTCCATACCTTCCAATACTGCGGTAGATTGCGAATTTAGTGGTCCTTCAAGCAATCAAATTGTCCTGCAATTTTTCTTTCTTTCGTTGAGCCACATTTTTGTGGCCGTGAAAAACACGTTTGGCGAGTCCTGACTTTCACACCTCCGCATTTTGTTCATTTAAGTCGGATCGTTTTCAAACTTCGGTAACTTCGACTATCATCATTTGTCTTTCGAATGCCATAAATTTAAATTTTATAGTTTCGCGGGATCGGAATTAAGCGTCTCGTTTTGTACTGTTAAGTTACTTTCTGGATATGCCTTACGTGCATCCGATGCACGTATTTGCCCTTGTAGTGAACAAACTGTAGATATTTTAATTTTAGTGCTTTAATAATTTACAAATATAATTCGCCAGATTAAAACTGGAGAAAACCATTTGGTCCTTACATATTTACATATGTATGTACAAACTACAGATATTGTAGCTTGATTTCTTTAGTACAGTTTTACCACGCTTGCAAAATCTCTCAGCTGCCCTAACTTATTTTTCGACACAAAAAATACTAAGGGTACGAAGTAATAACTAATGTGTAGCAAATAACTTCATACGTAACTTATTTTTTATTTTTTATTTTTTTCAATTTTTTTCAATTTTTTTAGTATTTTTTTAAATTTTTCCGGGCTCTGGGGGGGGCTCAAGCCCCCCTAGTCCCCCCCTTGGCTACGCCGCTGTCTGAGAGCTATTATTATGGAAGTTATCCAAAATGGCAATTGTAAAGCACAAACTTAGGAATGTATTGACACTAAAACGAAATTAATCCATTTTGTATTATTAATCCATTTTGTATTTAATACAAAATGGATTAATTTCGTTTGATTGATCTCTTTAAAATCTATAAAATTACATGCAAATTTACGGCATCTTATACCCAGTAGTGCCATATGTTATGTCCAACGCTTTCTGTTCGAAAATCAGTTATGGAAAGTTTTACCATTTTTTTTATTAAAATGCGATTAATTTGTGTATTGGACATATGTATGTAATATTGGACATAATATTGGGATAATAATTTATAAATGGCTCTATTGCAGAGCATATATCTCCTTGGGACGGAAAAAGACTTTTTCCGTCCTCAGTTTTTGAAAAGAAAAAGAAACGATTTGCCTCATTTACATCACGAACTATACGAGATTTTCCGTCCCAGAGAGATAATATTTCCACAATAAACATGCCGAAATGGTGATAGCATCCACTAGCCTAGCCCTTTCATTCTTTGTTTCCTTCATGTTGTGAGCAAAATGAGATTTGCGTTACGTTACACGGGGGGAGGGGGGTATTGGCCTTGCGTTACACTGGTGTGACAGAGGGGGGGGAGGGGTCTGAAAAAAGTCGATTTTTGCGTTACATAATTTATGAACGGTCCCTTAGCTGCAAATTAGAAGTTTTAGTAAAATCATTTACATTACTGGTAAGTGGCGAGGAGAAAAAGTCAACTCGCTCACTAGGATGACAGACTGTACCCGAACTCAAACTTTAAGACGCCAAAAGCCTACATAACCACAAGCACCAAACACTATTCTACAATATAAATATGCAATAAAATAAGTGGCATATGTGCCTGCAACATAAAGGCTGTGGAAGGTTTCTAGCTCGATAGCGACAGATTTATGTATGTGACACGTTATCAATTTTTTTTCCTTACCTCTTAATTATCTTTAAACGGGTGCTCCGTTGAGAAGAGTTTTAGTTTCCAAAGATTTTCTGACCAATCTTAAAATAACGGACGTATTGATGTGAAAATATTTAACTTTGGACTGCTCATTTAACACATGTAATCTGGACTAAAGGTTTGGATGATTTGATGCACAATACATACAGGAGATTTACCAAACTGGGCTGATAAGATACATTTTGAATAATATTTGTTGAATATCTTTTCCTATCACTGAAGTGGGCATAAACGTTAAAATAAATACATATCTGTGTTTATTACATATGTTTATAAGTAAGCAGTTTACTCATGTGTCAGTATATGCATCTGCTTGATACATTCGTATGTACTATGGTTTCACGATCCTGCAAAAAATTGCTTAGATATGATATGAAATTATCATCAATTGGAGGATTTCATAAATAAGTTTATCCGTGAATAGCGTTGCTGAAACCCATTGAATAACACAGTCAAGGTTAGATTACATATTCTTCATGGGTTTTCAAATCATGTAGGATGCTAATATACATATTCTGTTATTACCAATCTGTGCAAAGTAATTATGTATTCATACCGTGACTTTGACACGAACGAAATGAATGCAAACGCTGAAAAGAAGTAATTCATTATGCCGATTGATGAAGAGTTGCATATGTACATACACATTTCATTCGTAACCAGCGCGTTTCTTGTCAAATTAAAGTGCGGATAAGGTACTGACAATGCGATGGCGCCATCGATCTCGCTCCGATTTTGATGAAACTTAGCAGCTAATTATGTAGCCTTAGGTAAATAATTGAACACATGTTTCGGGATTTTTCATAATGCTCAGTTTAAACAAAATTATGATGGTATAAGTGGCCGAAAAATCGCATTTTTCTCCCCCAAATACAAAAAAAGAAAAACTTCAGGAGAAAAATGCGAATTTTCGGCCACTTATACCATCATAATTTTGTTCAAACTGAGCATTATGAAAAATCCTGAAACATGTGTTCAATTATTTACCTAAGGCTGCATAATTATCGTTGTTTCGTCAAAATAGGAGCGAGACCGCTGGCGTCATCGCATTGTGAACGGCTTCGTCTCATCGGATACGTCTGATCCAGTACTTATTTATAGTAATATAATATGTATGTATGTACGTATAAAGCAAGATTTTTGTAAATATTTTTTGTTAGGTGTACACCTTGTGGAGGAAGTGGGCGTGACCCTCGAGGTTGTTTTGGATATCTATAAGTAAAGTGGATATTAAAGTCAACAAGCCTTAAATTGATTTAAATTTTGAGGACTAACATATTTAATTTCGAGTTTAATAAAAGAAGGGGAAAATTGTGACAAAATTTTGACTTATCGAAATGTATGATTTATTCCAGTGAACTTATACCAATTAACCATTCCAGGTCAGGCATTCATCAATCCTAACGTTTTGCTCATTTCAGTATTTATTATATTCCGGTTATTATTATTAGCTCACCCTGCGTAGCATGAGAGCTATTGAATTCCTCTTGTCGGTCTGTCTGGCCGTCTGACATGGTCCTACATATTTAATTAGCATCAATTGATGCAAAAAAAACTCATTAACAGACAGTCGGACAGACAGACAGACAGACAGACGGACAAGAGGAACTCAATAGCTACGTGCTACGCAGGGTGAGCTAATAATTATGTATTAAATTTTTGGCCCGAACCAGGGCTTATGTAATTTTCATGTCCGTCTGTCTGTCTTTCGATAACTCTCGAACGGGTTGACCTATTGACTTGTAATTTTTACCATTTGCATATTGCATATTTGACAAAATTAGGAAACGAGTTCAATGATGGGCCAAATCAGTCAAGTGGTTGACCGGTGGGGGTCATCCGAGTGGGTGGGGTATTATGCACCAAAATTTCAAAATTGTCGTAGAAAGCTGAAATTTGGTACAGAGATTGCTATTGGCCCCAAATAGATAAAAATGATTTCAAGTTGGAAAAATTGTCATCTTGAGGGACCCTATGGGGTGACCCATACTGATTTTTCAAAATCGTCATATAGAGCTGAAATTTGGTACAGAAGACCTAACTGGGTCCTAATGGAAGAGTATGAATTGGAATTAGTAAAAATTTCATCAGGAAGGACCGTATTGGTAGACCCCCATCGATTTTCAAAAATTAACATAGAAAAATGAAATTTGGACCAGAGATCCAAACTGCTTTTTCGCGAAATAACATGTTAAACATGAACAAAAAATTAACCATAGGGGCTATAAAGACGACCTACACTACGAAGTAGTCAAGGGGAAGGGGTAGTAAATATTTTTTAGAATTTGGAGCCTACGAAGGATTGATGGAAGAATTAGTGCAAAATAGTAGCACATAATAATTTCATAGAAAACTACTGACAAACATTGGTTTACTACGGTATGTATTTTATAATTAGAACTTTTTTCTTGATTTTTTTGGTATATAGGTTAAGTGGCCGACCATCTAATGCCAAATACATTGGAAATGGACATTGTCACCAATTTGTCAGTCGTCGACCGATTTTCAAAGTTTTGACCGTTTTCGAAACTTTGAACGTTTCTACGAAATATATATTTTCAGAATTTTGAAATACGACCACACCCCCTTGAAATGAGGGTCACAAGTTAAAAAAATGTGTAAAATTCAACTTAGTAATGCAATTGAGTTTCAAAGCGCAAAATTCTAATCGCATGGCGAAACGATAAACCGACACCCAGGTCAATCCCTACGAGGTTCAAGTGGTCACATGCCCCACCCCAGTGGGTGTGGCTCTCGGCGACTTTTCGACTTTTGTCAAAATATGGGTTGTGATATATCATTTTTTCAGCTCGATGAGGAGATCCCGATGCGCTCATTACAATTCACCAACCTCACCCCCAGTGGGTGTGGTTTTCAGGAAACTTTCACTTTTAACGAAACCATGGCATGTGATATATCATCTTTCTCAGCACGGTGAGGAGAACACGATGAAAAAATTAAATTTGCCAAACCACACCCCCAGTGGGTGTGGTGTTCAGGAGACTTTCACTTTTAACGAAACCATGGCATGTGATATGTCATTTTTCTCAGCACGGTGAGGGGAACACGATGAAAAGATTAAATTTGCGAAACCACACCCCCAGTTGGTGTGGTTTTCAGGAAACTTTCACTTTTAACGAAACCATGGCATGTCATATGTCATTTTTCTCAGCACGATGAGGAGAATACGATGAGAAAATTAAATTTGCGAAACAACACCAACAGTGGACGTAGTTCTCAGCGCATGTATTTATCTACCAACACCATGGCGTGCGGGATATCATTTTGATTATCCGGTTGAGGCGAACCCGAGGGAATATTCGCCTCTGTTAATCTAAATAAACCATGGCATGCGACTTATTATTCTGAGGCAGACAACGCGGTCTGCAGAAAGTTAGAAATATGCTAACCACTCCCCCGATGGGTGTGGCTGCTGGTGTATTTTAGACCAAAATCGATTGCATTACATCATTTTTGTCCGGCAGATGATATGATCCGAACCGTAGATTAGAAGTTTTGTGGACGACACACCCTGCAGGCACATATGTAAATTTTTAAGCTAAGCGAAATATGAGATGAAATGGATCAATGGAGCTCAAATGGATTGCCAGACAGAATTTTAATGTTACAAGTTCACACAGTAATACATATTTAACGATAGAAAAGTTATTGACGGCACCATTCGCAGTCGTGACACAAATCTTAGTGTTTTTGAATTTTGGAAATGTGTCATTATTGTGAAATATATGTATTGTACAGGAAATTTAATGGGGGTTTCAAAACTCGCAGCAGCTTGTTGCTTAGTGTAATAGTTTTCATAAAATTTAAGATCGTGATAGAAAATTTCTGACATGCATACAAAATAATTAAAGGCACCGTTATCATTTTATGATAACGGGGAAAACTATTACACATAAAAATAACATTGCTAACCGTAGATACATATGTTGACATGTTATATATACATCACCCAAGAATAAATTCAAACCCGGTAGTATACTGCGCGTCGCGAAGACTGCAGCTTATCAACAAATTTCACTCAGCCATGGTGTCTAAGTTTATCCTGTACAGAATTTAACTGGCTTTCTAACCGTGCAAAATTTGGTTAATAAAAATGTAATGGGCGTTGGTAAATATTCAACCCAGAAAAAAACACAAAAAGTTTCGCTGCAAAAGCCGCTTCCATATTAAAAAATATTTCGTAACGAAATTGTAGTAAAGATTTTGTAGTAACTAACATTTATCCTAGTCCCTCTACTTGCAAAAAAAGGTGGAAAATGCGAACGAATTGGGAGTTGACTAATCCGGAATAAAATATTGTAAATTTCCACGAGCGAAACCAAGGGCTCATAACAAACTTGGGGCCAGCAGTCACACCCCCCAGGGGAGTGGTTTTAAAATTTCTATCCTTCTGATTTTGATTAACATAGGCGCTGAGAACTACACGCTTAAGGGGTGTGGTTCATTAGTTTCGAATATTCCCTCGGGTTCGAATCAACCGGATGATCAGAATGATATCCCGCAAGCCATGGTGTTGTTAGATAAATACATGTGCTGAGAACCACACCCACTGGGGGTGTGGTTTGGCAAATTTAATTTTTTCATCGTGTTCTCCTCACCGTGCTGAGAAAGATGATATATCACATGCCATGGTTTCGTTAAAAGTGAAAGTTTCCTGAAAACCACACCCACTGGGGGTGAGGTTGGTGAATTGTAATGAGCGCATCGGGATCTCCTCATCGAGCTGAAAAAATGATATATCACAACCCATATTTTGACAAAAGTCGAAAAGTCGCCGAGAGCCACACCCACTGGGGTGGGGCATGTGACCACTTGAACCTCGTAGGGATTGACCTGGGTGTCGGTTTATCGTTTCGCCATGCGATTAGAATTTTGCGCTTTGAAACTCAATTGCATTACTAAGTTGAATTTTACACATTTTTTTAACTTGTGACCCTCATTTCAAGGGGGTGTGGTCGTATTTCAAAATTCTGAAAATATATATTTCGTAGAAACGTTCAAAGTTTCGAAAACGGTCAAAACTTTGAAAATCGGTCGACGACTGACAAATTGGTGACAATGTCCATTTCCAATGTATTTGGCATTAGATGGTCGGCCACTTAACCTATATACCAAAAAAATCAAGAAAAAAGTTCTAATTATAAAATACATAGCGTAATCACTCCTGGTTCGGGCTAAGCAAAGCTGTGCCCCACCACAATGTTCAAGTGGTCGCATGCCCCACCCCATTGGGTGTTACCCTCGATGCCTTTTCGAGTTCTACGAAAACATAGGGTGTGGCATATCATTTTTCTCAGGCCGATTAGGATATTACCACCGAATACTGAAAATTTACGAACCACACCCCTCGTGGGTGTGGTTCTCAGTTACTTTAAAATTAACCCGAACCATGTCGTGTGATATGTCATTCTTTTCTGCATGACGAGGGGGTCTCGACGCAATGCATATCATTTTGAAGCCACACCCCAAGTGGGTGTGGTTGTCAGCGACTTCTAGATTTGAACGAATCCATGTCATGTGAGGTCATTTTCTGGATGAACGATATCTACCTGCCCAGGTTCTATACAATTTTACTTCTTTACATATGTATTTAAACATGGTGAACACGGCATACACGCTAGGAAATTTTGTGACCACGCGGTAAACATATATGACTCTACCGTGCTGGTAGATACTACCATTACTGCACAGTAACAATCCAATTTTTGTATGAAATAAAATGCTGCCTTGCCGCGGTGGTGGACGAATTCGAACCAGGCTGGTCTTTGCTACCACTTGGTGGAAGAAATGGTAATAGAGCGTTACAATACTGCCGCTAGGGCATGCAATACCGGTGGTATTTTCCAAAACCGGTATTCGGTATTTTAGGTATTGGGACCTTCGGTAATACCGGTATTACCGACACCATATGTTAAATATGTATTAAGCTATGAAAATGATTAAATGAGACAATACATAGTAAAAACTCGGCAAGGTATTAAATGCTTGTGTCATCATATTTTACTAAAATGAACATACGCATTTTAAAAAAAGTTTGGTCATATAGCTCATTACAAAGGAAGGTTCCAACTTCCAAGCCCTGGGTTTCTCAAAGATAAACAATTACTTACGGTTCAAATTTTTAACTATGAATTATCTGACATTCTCACTATGTACTCTAAGCTCCTTATGACCTGATCAATATCGTAACTTTTACAAATTCTACAAGTGTTCTGCATACCTATATGAACAAGTGTGTACATGAGCGAAAATTTCAAAAATCTCAAAAATTCTAACGTGTCTTGAAAATATATTTCATGTGTAGCATTACTCATAAATGCAAGAGATATTTTCCGTGAACTTAAAAATTGCTGCTTGAGTCATAAAATTGTTTTTAGTTGACGGCCTCGATTTATCTATCAGACTACCGTACCCGTGAATCATTCCTGGAGTTTGTATCTTCATGACAATAATGATTCGACTGTTTAAAATTTTGTATTTTCTCGTATGGTTTCTGCAGATACGAGTCTCGTAAAACGGTTGCCCGGGTTGTGAGATGTTCAGAAATTTTTATACACGACAATTTCCCCGAATAAACATCTTATTTAATACTAGGCATCGGATTTAGGGGCCACTAGAAAAGGCTACATTTCCCATTTAAATGGATTAAATTTACCATTGGATACTTTTGCCATCAACTATGCTTAGATTTCCATTTACATAACCCATGTTGGCCATTTAAATGGTCCGCCATATAATTAATGTATAATTTTTATATTCAAATTTATTTCGATAATTTTGCATTGTTACATGATTAACAATGCCTTTGCAGCTTTTCTAGGCCGGCCAGGGCCCAGTCACTGCCTATTGGAACATTCTTCGCAACGAGTTACATCAAAAAATCGAGCCAAAAATTAGGAATCACACGAGCCTCATATTTCCTTTGAATAGCCCCTTTGAATAAAAAATATATTGGGGTGACACGAGCGCCTTTTTTTCTCCCCGTCACTCATGGACGATACACGGTTAGAAATCTCACACCGGTATTAAAGTTGCTACCCCTTGCTATTAAAATTATTATGATCCGTAAAAATTTGATACCGAAATGGTAAAATGTTAATACCGAGTTATTACTACACTGTATTATGTACTTATCAAATCAATAACACTTTGGAAGAGTCATATATGAATACCGCCCGTATTGTTTTAATCCTGGATTTCTAAGAGTGTAAAGAAGATAAAATTTACTAAAAACTTGAACTTGGTCCACAGTATTTTGCCTCAAAAGAGCTTTATTTGATTACGAATTTTTGGATCGATTTTTAATATAACTAGTTGCAAAATCCCGGTGCAGAGGTTCCATTGTCACTATCATCTAGCAATGTTTTGCCCACTCTGGCAATTAAAATTTTTAAACATTTTATAAAAATATAAAAAAGTATGAATGCATGCATGTATGAGTAACTGAAATAAAACCTTCAGGCTACACCGGGATTGTTTACCGAGTTATATTAAAATCTGGCCAATAGTTAGGATTGCATGATACTTATCCATTGCAAGGTCGTCTTGGAAGAAAAACATAAGCGGCGTAGCGTATTGGAGAGACTTGAATTAGGTTCCGTTGAGTGCACAAACTGAATGAGTGTGCCTAACTTAGGCAAAGGTGCTCAAAATTTAACAAAAATGTACTTTCTTGTTTGGTTATCATGCTTTTACAAAACTTTGTACTATAAATATGAATATCTAATTAAGTCGCCATATGGAAATTTAGATGGGTCCAAAAAAATTTGCTAATGGCCAAAAGTAGCTTCAGGAATTTTATCCATTTAAATGAGAAAAAAATCCTTTTTAGATGGCCCCAAAATATAGTTCCTTTAATACTATAAGTTATCGAGGTGTCAAATTCTCAAGTATTTTTTGACAATTGTTGAAACTTTAAAAATAAATGTCTACTTATACTTAAAAGATGATTTCAATACGTAAAATTTTTAACTTGAATACCGGTATTGAGCTCGTCAATACCGGTATTCGGTATTCGGTAATACCGGTGAATACCGGTACTCGAATACCGGTATTGCATGCCCTAACTGCCGCTGATGGTAGTACCTAATCTTACCACACAGGCGGTAATACGCGGTATTATGAATTCATTACCGGATTTTTTAGAGTGTATTTTGCCATGACAATTTTGCATAAGTAAGAGCTCCGAATTTACTGTCAGAAATTATTTTCATGTACATATTATAAAAAATATGTATGTGTAAACACATTTACAATTTTTTTTATGTTTTTTGTTAGAGAGAATATGTAGCATTTTAAACCTTCAAGAGCCAAACTTTTTTGAACTTCGGTGACGACAGATATTAATTCCATTCACATGTGATGAACACATATTTAGCACAATAAGATCTGTTATAACCAAACATTAAAAAGGAGTATCCGGTCTTTCCTTAATCCACTTTGCAATCCCCTCGTGTGCAAAGACGTTCTCCGTAAGTTTTGTAATATTGGGAAAATCCCTGTTGAACCCGTCCATATTCCCATCTCCTAAAAATTTAGCCCAGTTATAGAGATGGTTCGCTGCAAAAATGTCTGCCCAGGTCATCCTGTTCCCGACCAGCCAACCAGCCCCGTTTTTAGAAAGAATAGCTTCAAATTTCGCAAAATAATGGGGGGCATGTTTTTCTCTGATTTCCAAAATTTGCGCCGCTTTTGCATCCTCGTCGGAGAACTTGACCCAGTTAACGAATTCTATCGGATCAAAAAACGTAGTATTTTTAGCGATGTTTATACAATCTAAGAAACCCGGTAACTAAGTTATTACCACGCGGAGTATCCATGTAACTCTACCGCATGGTAATTTATTTATTATTGAGCGGTACACGTTTTGTTACCAAACCGGTAATAACCCCGGTCGCGAAATTTGAAAATATTATCAGTTGGTAACTAATTTTCTACCACTCAATAATAAATACATTACCATGCGGTAGAGTCACATAGATACTCCGCGTGGTAATAACTTAGTTACCGGGTTTCTTAGAGTTTACTATTTTCAAAAACTTATCAAAATTTGAACCAAATGCAAAATTTCTTAAATCAGCTAACCTGAAAATAAGATGGAAATGAATCATTACAATGCGGAATGACTAAATATGTGTCTCTACCACGTCCGTTACGATTTGTCGCAGAAATCGCAACAATAATTTCAAGGAGATTCAAATTCATTACCAAAAATTAAAGAAGTGAATACCATTAAGTGCTAAATTTGAACTTCCCTTAACTTATTATTACTATTTCTGCGACAAATCGTAACGGACGTGGTCGAGACACATACATAGTCATTCCGCATGGTAATGATTCATTACCACCTTATTTTGAGCGTAGTATTAAAAATGAGTATATATGTACCTTGACCAAAATCTTTTACGGCGTCCACATACTCGTCGCATTTAGCAGCGGCTTCCTCCGTTTTGGCGTCCAAGTCGAATTTTTTAGCGAGATACCTTCCAATCGCGGCCACCTGAGCGAGGACAAACGTAGTCTCAGATTTACCTGGACGTACCTCCAAGACGGGCAGCGTACCCCAAGGAAGCTCTGGAAAAATGACAATGGATTTATTACACTTAATCATACATGTTCACATTCATTCATTTAATGATGAATGAATAAATTATTCATTCAATATTCAAATTTTGAATAAATATTGTATGAATATTTTATTCTGATTTTTGGATAAATGAGTATTGAGTAAAGATTTATGCAATTCCTGTCAATGAATAATGCATGAATATTTTTTTCATCATTCATTTTTTACGCAATGCTTAATACATAGTGAAAGTTGAGAAATTCGTGTAATTCTGTGAATTTTGAATTAAACGTATAACATGGTAAATAATAAATAAATATTGAATAATGAATGAATATTGTTTTTTAAGGCTTTGAATGAATGAAATTTTAATAAATAAATATTTTTGAACTTGTCTGATGACAATCTGCATTTTCAATTCACTTGACGTGTCTTACTATGTACAATACACAATTGTGACCCTACCAAATTAGCGAAAGGTGTTTCTTTTACGTAAATAACTGATTCGTTAATTAGCCAAATTTGTTTCGAAGGTTTTTAACATTTAAGTTTTCACGGTTATAAAGTTCTGAAGTAAATTATCTAAACAAGTAATTAATTAGTAATTAACTAATTAGTAAAAGTAATTATCCCAACCATTACATAAAAACAATCTAAAATTTCTACCTAAAATTTTTAATTTCCTCACCAGGTTTTCTTGCCGGTAAACTTTCATGTGTAAGCCTCTCGTCCGTGTACTTGACCCCGGCGTAGGCAAACATTAACCTGATCGGTTCCGCCATACCACGATGACTTAAATACGTCATTTTATAAGTTTCTGAAGAACTCATTGTTTTCAAATTTTTGACAAATTATTCTTCCTCGATTGAAAAATAGTCGGGTGAGGATCAGATGTTTTTAACAGAGAGGAAAAATACGTAAGCAGGTGTATGAAGCTAGTTATGCATACGTACATACACCTCTGCACTGAAAAAGCAAACTTGGTTATATAGTGGAGAAAAAAGTTACCAACGTCAACCTTCTCTGTAATCAAGGCCATGCAACGATTGAAAAACGTTTTCATGCATTTATGTACAACTTCTTTTACTGCATAAAAATATTACATACGAAGCAACACAATTAATCGAACACATAAGGGGCCGTCCATAAATTACGTAACGCAAGAGGGGGGAGGGGGGGTCATGGGAAGTGCGTTACGAATTGTTATGAAGGGGGTGGGGGGTATAAAAAATTTGTTACGTAACACATTTAATAAACTGGACTAAAATTCGCCAAATAGGATACGCCGAGCATATTGAATTCATGTCATCCAAAGGGTTTCAGTGTACGCATGTAAATATACATTTTTCATTAGTTTTCCAGGTGTAAATTGAGAAAAGGTTGCATTACAGTGGGGAATTTTAGGCGGAACCGGTCAAGAAAGGGGGGGGGTAACGAGTCCATCGTTCATTCTGTTACCAAGAAATATACCAAAAAATCTAGTTTATTTTTACATAGATATGTACAACCAGATCAATTCATTTGCTTCATTTTGAAATATTTAAGTGCAAAGTTGTCACAAATTTTCTAGCTCAATGCAAAAAAGTTTGCGGTCAAAAGTTTGACCTTAAATATCTCAGAATGGAGTAACCGAAATAACCTGGTTATATAGGTAAAAATAAACTGGATTTTTGGCTCTATTTTGTGGTAACAGAATGAGAGATACCCCCCTTTTCTTTCATCGGTGCGGCCCCAAAATTCCCCACAATGCATTGCGAATGCTAAGTAAATCACCTGCGGTGAAATCAAATTTATGTTACGTTACGAAGGGGGAGGGGGGGGGGTAGTCGAGAAGCGTTACGATGCCGTTACGAGAGGGGAGGGGGGGTTTAAAAAATGACGATTTTTGCGTTACGTAATTTATGGACGGCCCCTAAGTAGATACGTGCATTTTTATCATTGCGTACAAAGTTCACCGTCCACGGGTTTAAGGAATGTAATAATTTAACGTTTATGTAGATGTGCAATGCATTGTATACTATTTAGACATGGGTATGTTCTTTAGGAAATATTTGACTACTTTTCTGAAGCCGAAGTTGGTCCAGTTACTACACAATTTATTCACTCCTTGAATATTTAAATTGGAAAATCACAAACGATGTATGTACATATGTAAATCATTCGTTAATAGATAGCTCATTAATTAATTGCAATTTTTCATTCATGTAGTAATTGATATATATTAATATTATGTAACATTACATATTTAGATAATTTACTCTATCAGCGACAAAATACAGCTCCTTGAAGTCCCGGTGAAGATTGGGGCATAGTATATTCACAAATACCCAACACGTATTGCAGAGTTTTTTATAATTAATTTTTATCATTTAAACTTGCTAAGTTTAAAAAATTGCTAAATGAATATACCTACTTTTTGTCGTTTGAAATAAGGAACTTTAGCATGACAAAATATTTGCATAATCCGGTACGAGGCTTAAATAGTTTTGTTTTATTCCTACCTTCAACCTAACCCGATTGTTATATTTTCTAAATATTGCGTGATTTAGCGCCTTGTTAAAGAAATAAAACGCCTGTTAAGCTTTAATGATCACACAAGTTTAAATTCCATCAATGGAATTTGCTAATATATAAGCAGATTGTTCAAAAATTTTGCATTGAATAGGACAACAAAGAGATTGTCCCAAAACCAGAACGCGATGTCAAAAATTCGCCAAAATATGAAAATTGAGTGACAAGCAGAATTCTATCATTTTAATGAAACGGATAGTTTGCATTGTTATAAAAAAATTAGCACAATCGTACCAGGAAAAGTCTTTAGATAATCCGTTAGTATATAAATATTTTACAGGTTTTTTTCCTCCCACAATTCTGAACGCTTTGTGAAATTAAAATTAAAGAACAAATTACATTTAAAAAAGCATTAAAGATGCTGCAAATAAACACAATTTTGCACCTTGTTCTGTCAACAATTATATTTCTTGTAATGGGAACATATTCTCGGTTTGGTAATAAAGTTTTTCAAAAAATTTCCTATTTTATAATGTTCATAACTTAAATGTGCATCTTCAACAGTTAATTTTAGATTCCCCGCTAAAATAGTTTCGACAAGTTTTACCTTTTTTAAAAATTTCTATTTTAAGTTTTGATTTTGTTCGTCTAAATTTAAATACATTATTTAAATTTAGACGAAAATATATATTGATACACATAAGTATATTTTACTAGCGTATAATCCCGTCTCCCGCCGGGCTTATTTGATTTTAGTGAAAATTAAGTTGTATTGTCCTTGATTCCACAGAATTATTTTTGTATTGTACATATCTATATTAAGCTGGAAATGTCGGTTGGCAACGGAAGTGAAACTTTCCCAATTTCACTCCCGTCACGGAAAATTACTTTCACATCCGTTGCAGACAAACATTCCAGCTTGTAGTATAGATATTCATATGAATTTTCATCTTAGACAGTTCTAAAATCCGGTCCCCAATCGATGACTATCACCGCGCGACTCTAAACTCGGGCAATTTTTCAAATTGGTTGCAAAATTCTTATGACAGCAATACTCTCGAGCGGCTTAACTCATTTCCAGTTCATAAATTTTATGAATACCGCATCGCCAGCTCATCTTTCTTCATCGACAACAAATTTTTTTCCGTCGATATGGAAATTCTGTAAGACTGAATTCGTGTTTTGTCGGTCATTACCAGAATTTTGGTTAAAATTTTAGTCTCTTTGTAGCGACACAAAACTCCAACATGCCGCAACCCAAATTGAAGCTGAATGCACCCATACGGATTTAGACGAGGGCACGATTTCGATATTGTTCTCGTTTAAAAATGTCCAACTTTCGGGTAATTTTTTACTCAAAATTAAGTAAATACGGTTATAAAGCCTTAATAAATTTCATTTATTAAGGGGTGAAAGCCTTTAATAACATTGTTATGGCCGTCTGTCTGTCTGTCCGTTGGTCCGATAACTTTTGAAAAGAAAGACATAGAGACTTGAAATTTTGAACGTAAGCTCCTAACGTCAAGGGACAGGACGAGTTCGAAGATGGACACTGTGACGTTGTCACCCATGACGATGGCGTCGTCAAAGTGACGAAAAATAACGAAAAAATGTCACATTTCAGTTTTGGCATGTGACACATTGTTTTTAACAATTTTTTAACGACGAATTCAATGGTGACCGTCATTTTGACCTCAGAGGTCACAAAACGGTTAACAAATGTTAAATTGCCACAAATGTCGAAAACACGTTGCATGTGTATAAATTTAACAGACTTTGAAAACTGAAAATTTTGACCAGCGACACTTGAACGACCGTGTTAAAAATTTTGAACGGACAAAAATAATATGATATTCATTTAAGCGTATGAAACACTTCTTTCACCCCTTGGTTCATACGATGTAACGGTTTATTTATTTATTGATGTGCCAGGACCATACTCGGCCAACGGGACTCTAATGAATAACACCATTCCGTTCCAATCCGAGGGAAATTGGACGATCGACTTGTCAATGGCTTGTATCCTACGGGCAAATTTCACTCCTTTCAATGAAACCCATGTTAGATTAGAGGACGATTTTGCCTTCTTTTGTGAAGGTAACAAATTTCTATAGAATTTAGTGATTCACAAAATTTCCTTACAAAAATTTAAATTTCCTAGAAGACCCTAGCACCCAGGAGATGATGGTCTACCAGAACGAATGCGAGCGAGACTGGAGTCATGGCAATGTTATTATTAGATCAAGGTGGGCGAAATATTATTTCGCCTCATTAAATACGGGTATTCATTTCGAGTTCGCATCGTTACCAACGTTCGCAAAAAAATAAAGTTCCCAAGTTCGCAAAAACTTTTGGCTTAAAGATTGATTTGCCAACTTGCGCATCTGCAAGGCTAGTGTTTGGTTGGCAAAATAATTTTTACAAATACGGAAAATTTTTCAGTGGGAAAAGTAGACAAACCTCCATTAGTTACCGAAGTTTTGGCTTTTGAAATATTTTGTAAATTTCTTATTTGGTAAATTTTAGACCCAAAACCTCAGTAACTAATGTTAATTTGCGAATTTTTCTCATTACAAAACTCGAGATATTTGAATACAATTTTCATTTGCGAAGTGCCTTCACTTCGTTGCTTCGTAAAATTCGCAATTTCGAAAAAGTTATATTTCGATGCGAACTCGTAATGAATACCCTCAATGTTCCGCTTCCAATACTTAAGTACAAAATTTAAATGAATTTTAAAGATTCGCTAATCTGCTGGCAAAAGTGGAAGTCTCCAATGATCAATTTCACCAAGATCTGTCCGGTCTCGTAGAATTCATGGACAATACTTTAGGTCACAAGGTTGAGGAACATTATCTAATCCAACTACTTCTAGAATATAACTTTGGATCGTTTGTGCACAGCTTTTTGGCCGATGCAGTTCAGGTTCTTATTCAAATTTATTGGAGTGTAATTTTACGTATAATTTCTCTTACAATGCGATGGTGTGAAGTGTAACCCTCCAAATTGGTTGAAATTTTGGAATTATGTGGTCTAAGTCAATACAACCAACGTTTCTTGAGGCAATTTGTGCGATAGTTGGAGTTTGTCAAAATATTTGAGGACAAAGTTCAAAAAATGTGCGATTTTTACCAAGCGGAGGAAGCAAACCCCACTCCCAATACCTCCAAAGTGAAAAATCGCACATTTTTCAAGTTTGACCTCAAATATTTTGACAAATTCACACCATCGCACAAACTGCCTCAAGAAATGTTGGTTGTATTGACTTGGACCACATAAGGGAGCGTCCATAAATCACGTGATCGATTTTTGGACAATTTTGACCCCCTCCCCCCCCTTGGTGACCGGTGGTGATAATTTCGCTACCCCCCCCCCACCGGTCACGTGACAGGAGATGATGCTAAAATTAAATCATGTTGTCCGGAATAACAATATTATTCCAGTGTTTTTTAAATCGTTAATCAAACTAGAGCAACACACA